AGTAGTCTGTGTGTGTATTCAGCAGACTGTGTGTATGTTTGTGTATTCAGCGGACTGTGTGTTTTTAGCAGTCTGTGTGTGTATTCAGTAGTGTGTGTGTGTCGGTGTGTGAATGTGTTCAGCAGTCTGTGACTGTATTCAGCAGTCTGTGTGTATGTATATATTGCATTTGTTGGAGATACTAATAAACATAAGCTTAATTTTATCTATTATTTATATCATTATTTAGAATCTGTATCATTAAACTCACTGTTGTTGTGCTCTTCTTTTAAATGTTAATTAGTTCAGAGAACTGTACGAGTTGGTTTTTCTAAACTTAAACCTTAGTATTCAGGTTTAATTGCCGTGTTGGCACTTTGAGGAAAAAAAGTTGGCATTTATTGCTGTTTTGGCACTCTGGCTCAAAAAGGTTCGCCATCACTGGTCTAGCTAATGAATTCCTCCTAAAGAGAAAAGTCAGAATTTTTTGTTTAGTATTCACCAGATATATATATATAATTTTCAATTAATGGGATAATCAGCTATCCAGAGACAAATAAACCAACATTCACCCTGTCTGTGATCACCATCTACTGTCCATTATCATAATTACATTCACTTCAATTACAAATGAATTATTATTTATAGAGCGCCAAAAAGTTCTGCAGCGCTGTACAATGGGTGGACTAACAGACATGTAGTTGTAACCAGACGAGTTTGGCACAAAAGAACAGAGGGATTGAGGGAGTGATCTTAAATGCCAGAGGGAGTGGGGTGTAGTGACACAAAAGGTAAGGGTATGGTAGAAAACTATATTGATAGAATAGTATTCACTGAGGTCTAGGTGTTGTTTTGATGACAGTTGCAGGAGTGGAATCAGGGTGTGGGGAGCGAAAGCTGTTTAATTGATATGCTTTCCTAAAGAAGTAAGTTTTCAAAGATTTTTTGAAGGAGTGGAGACTGGGTGAAAGTCTAACAGAGAGGGGAAGGGCGTTCCATAGGAATGGTGCATCCTAGAGAAGTCTTTAAAGCGGCACTGTCATGCCAAACTTACCTTTCCTCAATCTCTTCTTCTTCACCCCCTCTCTCACGATTTGTTCTTCTTTTCTTCCTGTCTTCTTTAGTTTTCTTTAAAATCATAAGACAAAGTAGGGACTCTTTGCCTTATGGAGGTTTCCTCCGCTTGACCAGCTTTGACCAGCGGAGGAGCAAAGTGTGCTTCATTTCCGCTGGTCACAGCAATTTTTCCATAATTCTTACCTTTCCTCTGTGATCTCGCGATGCTTCTGGTCATTTTACACGAAACTGCCGAATTGCATTCTAACTCAATGAGAATAGTATGTTAGTTTGTTTTAGAACTCAATTCGGCACTTTGTTCGTATCGGAATTTCATTTGAATGAATGAAACTCCGATCCTATTCTTAGTAGATAGCTCCCTAATTCCCACGGTATCAGGGAGCTATCTACCAAAAGGCTGAAAGACCTAAATTGGTCTTTCAGCCACATTTACTAATACTAAGTAAAGATTACTTAGTATTAGTAAATGGAGTAGGGGCATGTCTAGTAAACAGTGAGCAGCCTGAGCGGTGGGTGGGGGCCATAATGGACAATCGGGGGGAGGGGACTGGATGGGGGCCATGATTTACAATGGGGGGGACATACTGTCCTCCCACCCGGCCCCCACCCTTGAGCGGTGGATGGGGGCCATAAATTACAATGCGGAGACCTACTGTCCTCCCCCACCCTTGAGCAGTGGGTGGGGGCCATAAAGATAATGAGGGGGGACATACTGTCCTCCACCTGGCCCCCACCCTTGAGCGGTGGGTGGGGGCCATAAATTACAATGCGGAGACCTACTGTCCTCCCCCACCCTTGAGCAGTGGGTGGGGGCCATAAATTACAATGGGGGGAAACCTACTGTCCTTCCCCCCGGCCCTCACCCTTGAGCTCAGTGGGTGGGGGCCATAAAGATAATGAGGGAGGGGAACCTACTGTCCTCCCTCCCCCCCGGGCGGTGAGTGGGGCCCTAAGACAAACTCCCCCCCAAGCCCTGAGTCACCCACCCCCCACCCAAAAAAAAAGTAACCCCCTACCTACCCCCTCACCCTAAAAATAGTGAGGGGGAATAAAATAATTTTAATCTCCCTTATGCTATTATGGGGGTCATATTGACCCCCATAGAGTGAGGGGGGACCTGGGGGGCTTATGAAGTGGTGGGGAACACAGCTCCCTGCCGCTTCTATCTTTACATTTTACAAGGAGGGAGCTGCACGCCGGCAGCTCCATCATTGTAATAAACTGAACGAACAAACGAACAATGACATTCAGTGTTTGTTTGTTCATCTGACAATGCTATTCATTTATTCGTCTTTCTGACGAACGAATGGATGAAATTCTCGTTTGCATGCCCAAGTGTTTCACTGGGTATGTGCGGGAATCTCACAGTGCTATCTAGTGTGGGCAGATGACGTGTCCCACAGGGACTTCATCTACCCACACAAAGATGGCAGCTCCCTGAATATAGATCAGGGCAGAAAATAAATATTAAAAAAATAGGTAATCTTGGGGGCTTAGGGGCATTTGGGGCTGACTAAGGGGTCAGTTAGATGTAGTAGAGTCGGGAGGGGGGTTAAAAAAAAAAAAAAAAACAGGATCCGGCAGAGCGCAGGGGCCTAGACAGGACATATTTGTATATTAGTGAGGATAAATAGGTCGGAGCAGCATTGTGTAGAGCAGTGGTAGTCAACCTTTTATTACCAGACCACCAACATTTGTATCTTTGTTTATGGTAACATTTACCGCCCACTAGTGCCGCAGTAACGAGTTTTATAGCGCAAGTGCAATTTTGTTTTTAAATATGTACTTACATGTATCTATTTCCCCCCCCCTTTTTTATTGTGTGTGTGTGTGTGAATGGTGCACTGTGTGTTTGTGAGTGTGAATGGTGCACTGTGTGTGTTTGTGAGAGGTATAGTGTGTGTTAGGAGACAGTCTATGTGAGTGAGGGGTGTAGTGTGTGAGGTGGCAATGTGTGATGGGTGTAGTGGGTTTGAGGGGGCAGTCTGTGTTTGTGTGTGAAGGGTGCATAGGGTTTATGCTGTGTGAGATGTGAAAATCTCTCTATATGTCTCCCACGCCCTTCCTCTTACCTTTTACCAGGGAGGGGGGAGATAATACTGCAAGCCCTGGTGGTCCAGTGGTGACATGTTCACTTTAGCCTCCCAGGCCCTTCCCTTCCTCTGCTGGAACTAAGTGGCAGCGGGCCAATGAGGGAGATCTTGCGTGTGTATATATAAATATATATATACACACACACACACACACACACACACACACGCCGCCATCTTATAGTGAATTTCTGCCATTTATCTGTACTATGTTTTTCACACACAGCAATGTTTTTTGATGAATCACAGACCTGATGTGTCTTCCTACTATACAGACTCAGACACATTTTATTTTTACAGTGAATATTCATACGGTTGACATATTCTACTACTCTTCAACAAAACTCAGACATTTTTGTAAAGTTTATAGTGTCAAACGAGAAAGGGGAAAAGCCCACCCCTACCTTTAGTACAGCAAGCTTTACTCCCTGCACAGAAGCAGAGAAGACTATAGAGAATAATGGCGGATTTTCAAAAACTGTCCGATCTAAGGTGCATGCATATGTGTGAAGGATCCGGTCAAATACTGAAAAGGTAGGGATGAATTTTTTATAAAAGTTTTTACATATACTGAAATTAAAATAAGTCTATTTTCTTTCAATAGTTGATGACAGTATTATACATTTTTTTTTTTTTGAGGCCACAGTTGTCCTTTAAAAAGGATACGTTACACAACCAGGCCATTCCACTCAATGAAGTGTCCCTGTCCCCTTAGCCCTGCAATATAAAACATTATAGGTGCTTCTTGCTGTTTCATGGAGTTTTACTCGCTGCACATGCATATAAGATTTCCACCATCAGCTGACGTCAGAGGAGCCTGACCCAGCATTGAGGGATCTTGTGATAGAATCAGGTAAATATTTAAGTTTATTTAACCCTTTAATGGCTGGGAGGGGAGTTAAGAGGGACACTACAGTGTTAGGAATACAAAATTGCATTCCTAACACTAGTGTTTTTTAAGCTACGGCAATAGGTCTATGCAGTGATGTCACTAACCCATCAAAAAAAATACTAATCTGATCCTAACCCTAAATGCCATTCCAACTTTAATTCTTTAGCTGTCAGAGCATACTGCTGATGTACTTTACATAGCACTTCGTGGCAATAACATAAGGAGTAAAATACAAAATACATTATGGTATTGGAGGAAAACAACTTCTGCAATTCCCCCTTTTTAAAAAAAAAATAAAAAAAAAAGGGGATCTGCTTGTGCAAAACCACAGATGTTACACAAAAAAAGTAAGCACTTGCTGGTAAATTAATCAATGAACTTTATTGGATATTGGTGAAGCAGACACCAAAATTAGGTGGCAACCAAAAACAGTCTATCACAGAGGCCAGCAACGTACCCAAGCCCTGCACGGCCCACAAAAGCACCAGTCAGACTGGAGAGATCAAAGGATTTGTTGAACTGAACACATTGTGGAAATTAAGTACATATACATCAGGTCTCAAAATGTCAAGTGCCACTCTACTAGTAACTTTTAGGCTGCAAGATAGTCCATGGCACACTCGACAAGGGTGAATTTCCACCCACCAAGGCTAAATGTTAACTGGCCAATGGCTAGTGGGTAATAGAAAATGTAGAACCCTTCATATATTGTTATACTCATACTGGAATCCAATATGTCAATTTGCTGTTCAAGTCCATGTTAAGAAGCTTTTGCACATAATTTGCAACATTCCTTCTTTCTTGATCATGTTAAACACCATACACTGGCATCCAATTGTTGAATTCCAAAAAATCAATAATGGACTTGAGGTTGCAGTGGGTTAATCGTACAATCGGTAAACTGGTTTCACCATGACTTCCTATAGCCATAGCTGCACATCCTCCATCCATCTAGTAATATTCTAATCCTCTTTTTTATTACCATTTCTTTGTTCCTTTTTTACCTTCTTACGCTCACCAGATACATTTTCTGTGGCAATATCACTTTTTTTCTTTGTTCCTTCCTTTCTCTTTTTCACAGTTTCTGCCCCTTTCCTGGTGAGACATGCATAGGACATGAGTGCCATCGATAGGTAAATAAATGCCCCCATGTAGCCACCTATAACAAGGCATAGTGGCTGTGCCAAAACAAAGAGACAAAGCACATTAACTGAAGCAGCAGGGCCCAACTCAAGCCGGTCACCTCGACTCTCCCAAGACAGCAGACCAAAATATGCCACAGCAATACCAGGATACAGAGCTTGCTCAGCCATGTTGAAAAACAGACACAGTTTAACACAAGGATCAAAGTCTAAAGGTACCAGGAAAAATGTATGGGCGTGAAAAGTATTATTAACTCTTTACCGCCCAATTACTAAGTGTTTCACAAAGCATTCAAAGATAATAATCCTACGTAATATTGGCATTTCAATAGCTGCATGTTATTAACGTAATATAAACATTATAAAAGTTATACTTGAAAAAAATCCAAGGAAATATAACAAAGTAATTTTTTAATCATTCTGGAAAACAGCAAAGATAAAGAACTATACAAAAGCATCACATAAAAAGCTGCACATTTAACATGCGTGGTAATGAAAATGCAATGTTTAGATTTTGACATCTGACAATGTAGGAAGGCATAACTAAACAGCACAATATCTGTTAATATCAAAATATTTGGGTCTTATTCATATATGTAAGATTTATGGGATAAGCAAATTATATCACTTCAGTGGAAAAAAGAATAATTGCTTGTTTCAATTTAAAGGAATATAAAGTTGTTTTTGATTCAGTCCTTGGTGTTGTCAGATAAACACAGACACAACTAAATGGCCATAAATGTACAAATAATAAGCTAATGACAGATCGGTGTACTATAGAATGCATTTTCCAAAGCATTAAAAAAAAGAAATAAGTGTTGCATAACTTTCACAAATATTGTATTCATTTAAAAGTGCGCTTTCAAAATCTGCACTTAAGCCACAGTATTACTGTGCTCTCAACAAAGTTAAAAAGGAAAGCAATTTGCAAAAAAAATCTCAACTAGAGGGAAAAGCTCGCAGAATTCTGACATCATCAATTGCACGGTCCTGAGAATCTGTTTCCACCATGCCCAGACGGTTCAGTGTCCCCAGACCCTGTGATACACGGCCAAATATGGTATGTTTCCCATCCAGCCACTGACATGGTGCAAGTGTCAAAAAAAACTGACTTCCATTGCTGTCTGGACCAGCATTTGCCATAGCCAGAATGCCAGCACCTGGAAAGGAGACAGAAGAAGAGAATCATACCTCAAGTAAAAATGAATGATAGCAGAATATACTATTAAAGAAAAATAAATAAATAAATCGCAGACCTGTAAATTTGAGGTCTGGATGAATTTCATCTTCAAACTGCTTTCCGTAAATTGAGGCTCCTCCACGTCCTGAGACAGGAAGAGTGAGCGACATTTTCAAATTAGTAGTTACAACAAATCTCTGAATTTAGCAAGCCAGCTTTCACGGATATAAATGTACACCCGATTTTAGCCCACAAGGACAGTACCAAATGCTTGAAATTTATTAAGATGCAAATATGGTTTTCTAGATTTGCTAGTGGTTAATTATGGGTCAAGTCAACTAAAAACTATTTTAATGTAAACTTTAGACTTTTCAAAGTAAAGACTGCCTAGCAACATCCCTAATGGCAGTCACTCAGATGGCCATTAGAGGTGCTTCCAGGGTCAGGCATTCAGCTTCTCCACACTCTGCATGGAGACGCTGAACACACCCCATAGAGATGCATTGATTCAATGCATCTCTAGGAGGAGATGCAGTTTGGATCAGCGCTGCATTTTGCCGCACGTGTACTTTGGCCTCCCAATGCGTACCTACGTTTCACACATTTGTATTCCTGACACTATAGTGTTCTTTTAACCTCTTAAGGACACATGACATGGGTGACATGTCATGATTCCCCTTTATTCCAGATTTTTGGTCCTTAAGGGGTTAATGACATAGGCAATTGTACAAGTTCTGGTGATTTGCTTGTGGGTTCCTTGTTCCAATATGCATTACATTGCTTTTATCTATTGAATCTTATTTGTCACATGCCTGTCCAGTCCTCTAATCTATGCAAATCCCTCTGTAAAGGAATACCATTGATTTCATATGGTATTATTTTACCTAGTCTGCAAACACATGACGGTTTCCTCTCTCTCTCACACAAACAGGTGATATATATATATATATATATATATATATATACACACACACACACACACACACACCTCATTCATAGGACATGCTTGCCTGCAAAACTTTCATGAATATTCATTAAAATGTGAATTGTTGGAATTCAAGGAAAATATCAAATTAGACCAAAAGATCCAAATTTGAAAAAGTCTTGCACATTAGCAATGTTTTCATCCCAGCTATTTTGACCTAAAATATGCAATTTGACTCACAATAATTCACACATCACGTGAATAATCTTAACAGATTTGATTTAAATTAAACTACAAATACCCCATTAACACTTTTAATAGTTTTTTTTGGTTATTAGATTCTATTTCTTTTTCCATACCTGTTCCAGTTGGATCTCCCCCTTGGACCATGAAGTCTTTGATAATACGGTGAAATTTGGTCCCATTATAATATCCTCTTCGGGCTAGCTCTGCTAAATTCTTGCATGTCTTGGGGGCATTAAGCCAGTATAACTCCAATGTAATTGTGCCCATACTGAAATATAGAAATTAAATTAAGAGAAAAAAAAAAAAAAACCTTCAGCTTCACATTCATCCATTTTTTTTAATTGCATTGCACATATATATTTAAAAACATAAAAAAAGTGTTTTTTTTTTTTTTTAAAGTTACTGCAAAACTTTAACCTGTGCAGATTTGCAATAAGCTCTCACCAAACCAGGAAGTGACTGATTGTTACTTAAAGAAACACTGCAATCACCATAACCACTACAGAGTGCAGTAGTATATGACAATGAAGGGGGAAGTTATCATCATGGGTGACTTTAATCTTCCTGATGTAAATTGGAAAACAAAATTAGCTACTTGTGCCAGGAGCACACATATTCTAAACTCCCTACTGGAGTTGTCTCTAAAGCAAGTTGTTGAGGAGCCAACTCGTAAAGAGGCCATACTAGATTTAGTGTTAACAAATGGAGATTTGGTATCAGATGTTACTGTAGGTGAAAGTTTAGGATCCAGTGATCATCAGTCAGTGTGGTTTAATATAAGAACAGTGACTGAGTCACACCACACAAAAACAAAAGTTTTAGACTTTAGAAAAACAGACTTTTCTAAAATTAGAATATGGGTAGAGGAGTCATTATCAGACTGGAGCAATTTAAATGGAGTCCAAGAGAAATGGGATTATTTAAAAGTTGCACTATTGAAGGCAACAGAAAATTGCATTAGGCTTGTCAGTAAAAGCAAAAAATTCAAGAAACCACTGTGGTACTCCGCAGATGTGGCCAAAATAGTTAAAAACAAAAAGTTAGCATTTAGGAATTATAAAAAAACCCAGAGTGAGGGAGACAAAATGATCTATAAGATTAGGCAGAAAGAGGCTAAGCAAGTTATAAGAGCTTCCAAATCACACACAGAAGAGAAAATAGCACAGTCAGTAAAAAAGGGGGATAAAACATTTTTTAGATACATAAATGAGAAAAGAAAAGTAAAACAAGGATTAGTTAGATTAAAAACAAAAGAAGGAAGGTATGTAGAAGAGGATAAAGGTCAGGCTGACTGCCTCAATGAATATTTTTGTTCTGTATTTACAGTAGAAAATGAAGGAAAGGGACCTCAGTTGAGAAAAAGGATAAATGAGTCATTTATTACACGTGAGTTTACAGAGGAAGAGGTTCTATTTCAACTGTCAAAAGTAAAGACAAATAAGTCAATGGGACCTGATGGAATACACCCAAAGCTATTAAAAGAGCTTAGTGGTGTACTAGCAAAACCATTAACAGATTTATTTAACCAATCATTGTTAACAGGAGTAGTCCCAGAAGATTGGAAGTTAGCGAATGTTGTGCCCATTTACAAGAAAGGTAATAGGGAGGAGTCGGGCAACTATAGGCCAGTAAGCCTTACTTCAGTAGTGGGGAAAGTGATGGAAACCATGTTAAAGGATAGGATTGATGAACATCTAAAAACACATGGATTTCAAGATCAGAGACAACATGGGTTTACTTCAGGGAGATCATGCCAAACAAATCTTATTGATTTTTTTGATTGGGTAACTAAAATTATAGATCAGGGTGGTGCAGTAGACATTGCTTACCTAGATTTCAGTAAGGCTTTTGACACTGTTGCACATAGAAGGCTTATCAATAAACTGCAATCTTTAAGTTTGGATTCCAATATTGTTGAATGGGTAAGGCAGTGGCTGAGTGACAGGCAACAGAGGGTTGTAGTTAATGGAATATATTCGAAGCTTGGACTTGTCACCAGTGGGGTACCTCAGGGATCTGTACTTGGACCCATTCTCTTTAATATTTTTATTAGTGATATTGCAGAAGGTCTTGATGGTAAGGTATGTCTTTTTGCTGATGATACTAAGATATGTAACAGGGTTGATGTTCCAGGAGGGATAAGCCAAATGACAAATGATTTAGGTAAACTAGAAAAATGGTCAGAATTGTGGCAACTGACATTTAATGTGGATAAGTGCAAGATAATGCATCTTGGACGTAAAAACCCAAGGGCAGAGTACAGAATATTTGATAGAGTCCTAACCTCAACATATGAGGAAAGGGATTTAGGGGTGATTATTTCTGATGACTTAAAGGTAGGCAGACAATGTAATAGAGCAGCAGGAAATGCTAGCAGAATGCTTGGTTGTATAGGGAGAGGTATTAGCAGTAGAAAGAGGGAAGTGCTCATGCCATTGTACAGAACACTGGTGAGACCTCACTTGGAGTATTGTACACAGTACTGGAGACCGTATCTTCAGAAGGATATTGATACCTTAGAGAGGGTTCAGAGAAGGGCTACTAAACTGGTTCATGGATTGCGGGATAAAACTTACCAGGAAAGGTTAAAGGATCTTAACATGTATAGCTTGGAGGAAAGACGAGACAGGGGGGATATGATAGAAACATTTAAATATATAAAGGGAATCAACACAGTAAAGGAGGAGACTATATTTAAAAGAAGAAAAACTACCACAACAAGAGGACATAGTCTTAAATTAGAGGGACAAAGGTTTAAAAATAATATCAGGAAGTATTACTTTACTGAGAGGGTAGTGGATGCATGGAATAGCCTTCCAGCTGAAGTGGTAGAGGTTAACACAGTAAAGGAGTTTAAGCATGCGTGGGATAGGCATAAGGCTATCCTAACTATAAGATAAGACTAGGGACTAATGAAAGTATTTAGAAAATTGGGCAGACTAGATGGGCCGAATGGTTCTTATCTGCCGTCACATTCTATGTTTCTATGTTTCTATGTTCTATTGCCCTGGCACTCCCTCATATGCACATACTCTGTTTTAGAACAATTTGGCTTCTTACCTGGGATCGATCCTTTCCTTTCATTGTTCTCAAGCAGATTGCTTCAAGTTTACCTGACACAACCCAGGTAAGAAGTCAAACATTTTAAAACATGGTTGTGGTGCCAGAAGCGCCAGGGCACCATCCTAGATTAAAATGCCAATCTATTTGCATCAAGAAGCACTTTCAACCAGTAAGTGTGGTCCTGCTTCAGTCATACACTACAGAGACATCTGACTTCTCCAGGTGAAAAAGAGTGAAGAGCAATGCAAGGCCCCAATGGAACCCACCTATGTTTTCAAGCCACACTAAAATGGCCTGATATATAACTCTGGGATGCCATCAGGGGACTCCTGGCACCATAACCACTACAGCAGACTATAATGGTTATGGTGCATGGAGTACTCCTTTAAATGCCTAGAAAGGGTGTTTGCTATATACTTTTTGGACCTCCTGCTGTGGAACTCTCAGATAAATTATATACAGCAGTAAATTTGGTGTTAAAATAAATAACGCATAACGAAAGGGCAGGGACAAGAACACATATTAAATGTAATCACCCAGCATAAACCTGCAACTCTATCAACACTGTGCACCACACGTGCGGCCCCTTGCACGGTGTCACCTATTAATCATCACATAATTTTCTTACCTGGTCTCTAAAATCACATGAGATGGATTCCACGTGTCGGGTGGTATTCCTGCCATTGTGGCTCTTTCACATCGGTCAGTAAACCAAATAGTAACAGACCAGTTCCTGCGTTCCAGGCCTCATCTCCAGCACCGCCAATCATGTGTCTACTAACGTTTACTCCACCAATTGCAAGTCAGATTACCATGTGTCTCACGTATCGCAGGAACTGTTTGAGCCGCGATACCATGTCAATGAAGGAGGGGGCGTGGAGTGGTTTGAATTCTGCCCGCTCCTCTTTTAGGGGGCGTGGCCTACGAGTCATCCGCTCAGACAGCGGCTTGTGGTAAGTGTCACCCCTCCTGGGGTAGTAAGGGTTCGGGAATTTTGAACACTATTTGTAAATACACAGTATCTGTTAGAAATGGTACGATTTATAGTAAGGGTACACTGATAGCTCTATTCTCTAGGATCCTTGTATTTATAGAGCTCTTTGTGTCTATGGATTGTATTATGTACAATGGTAATAATGTATCTAACAAAGTAGAAGTCAGGGGAGTACTGAGACTAGTCTAGGCCCCCGGGCAAACCTAGGCCCTGGGCCCCCTCTATAATCCAATATGTACGTGTAGAAACATACATGGGTGTGTGCACTAAAAAAATCATTTTTGTGTTTTGTGAATCCAAGGTTGTGTTTGTGTGAGTAGTGCCACTGTTTATATTTACATGTAGCAGAAGTGTGCGTGAAACAAAAACTCTATATCTTTATAGACCAGATGTGTATTTGTGTGCATTGTAGGAATACAGTAGTGATTTTGTATTTTGTATAGAACGTCGATGTATTTAGGGATGTGTGACTTCAAAAGAATATTTGTGTGTAATAATGTGTGCAGATGCAGTGTTATTGAATATTTGTATGGACTGTGTTAGTAAGTGCAAGAATGCTTTTGTGAGACATGCATGTGTCTGTGTTTGTATGTGTGTACGATTGTACTTCACTGGGTGTTACTGTGTGCATGTATTGTATTTTATTTTACCAAATGTCATAGTGTAAATTATCTTCCCATTCACTATCATTCTCTTACAAAGCACTTTTGTCTATTGATCCCCAGGGGCTTTGCTTGGTGGATCTAGCCCCCAAAAATAAATTTTACATTAAGCTCGCCCAATGAACAACCCCAGCGCCATCGTAAAAATTAAAATAATACATATATACAAAAAGGATAGCAGTCTAAGGACTTTTTACAAAATTAAAATGTTATTTTTATTACTAGCTATCAATAAAATGTTAGCATTTCATTTTTTAAAAGCCAATTTTCCACGAGGAATTAATACAAATGCATAGACACACACTACTACACATATGCAGTCATACACTCACAATTAATACACTATTACACCTATACATGCAAACTGTTACACATCCTCAGAGATGCACACACCACATATATACACACATACACATATAGACATAAACACATTCAATAAACAAAACAAAAAACTAGGCCCAAACCACTAGCCTATCAGATACTGTTCCTATATAGGGTTAACCCTATACATTCCTGGCCCAGAAGGAGTTTATTATTTATATTATAGTTGCCAAGTAATTAAATCCAGAAGAATGACATAGTAAAAGTATGTCATGGGATGGGAAGTCCCCCACCCATAGTAAAGTATTAATTCAATGCTTTCGTAAGGGGAAGCTTGGATGCTGGTCAGGTCCCCAATTACTCTCTATGAGGAGAATTGTATTAGACCACACCAACGGAGGCGTAGTGGGAGGAGCACAGGTAAGCAGCGCCAAGGGAGCCTCACCGCCGTAAAAAGGTAAAAGTAAAAACTTTATTTTATTAATTTTAATGTAAAATGGGGGGGAAGGCGGGATCCTGTATTTAACTGAGCACAAGGACACTAAAGCAGAAGGAATACTGGTTTGTATTCTTAAAGCCAGGGCTGGAGCAACCGTTAGGCGAACTAGGCATTCGCCTAATGTCTTGGGTCACCCTCCCAGCGCCGGGCCAATCCTCCTGGCGCCAGAAGGTTCGGGGGGCCAGAATATATGACTTAAACAGCGCGCTGGAGGAGTGAGGAGCTGCCCCACACTAGACCCCAGAGCGGTAGGGAGGCTGGATGGGCCATAAAAATAAATAAATTGTGAGTGGTTGACTGTCAGTGAGTTTGTCTGTCTGTGTCAGTGAGTGTGTCTGTTATTGTGTGTGCTCTTCTATGCTTGTCTTATTATAAATAAAAATGCATAGAATATATCATTTATCACAGCGATAAATTATGTTTTCAATGTACAATGTAGGTATTAGGCAGTATGTGTGTGTATAGATACATGTCTTAGACAGTATGTGTGTATGGATGTACGCATTAAGCAGTATGTGTGTATTAGGCAGACCTAACTGAAAACCATATGGCAAAATATAGGCCAAAATAGCTGATCTAGAAGTATTCTCCAATATGGCTACAGTCACAGTTCAGCTGTTTTTGCTGAAACTTTGCAATTTTGTTTTCCACTCACTGCAATTCAGAGTTTAGTGCATAAACCTCTGTGACATTGTATTTGCTTTCATGAGGGGGTGGCAAAATGGATCTTTGCCTAGGGCAGCAGAAATCCTTGCACCCGCCCTGCCTAAAGCTTTAGTTTTTGTTTAACCCCGTACCACAGTTAGGATGTCCCATGCCGTCCTACACAGAATGGGCACAAATGCCTGCAGAACAACATCCAGGAATATTCTGTTTTGGTGTGAGTTGAGTTAAATCCCTGCTCACCCCTGGGATCTCCAAGTATCAGTGGGGTTCTCCTCTTTTTGCTGGGGCATTTTTTAATGGCCTTAAACTTTTTGATGAGCTGCTTGCAGAGCTGAAAGTCAGTGCTGATATCAGCTCTTTAAATAAATCAATGGATACTTGTGGCTCCTCTCAGTCAGCTGGGGCAATTTTCAACCTCCCTTTTTCTTGGTGCAGGCTTCTTGAATGAGATCTCCCAGGGTCTCCCTACCTATCTTCGTTGATTGTGACCAGTGGGAATAATTGAATTCAGTGTTCTCTTTGACTCCGACCTCTCATTCACCCCTCATGTCCAATCAATCGCTAAATCTTGCCGCTTCTCAATAACATAGCGCGCATCCGACCCTATGTAAGGCCTGATACATCTAAGGTCCATGCCCCTGTCCTCTCTCGCCTTGACTACTGTAATCCGCTTCTCAGTTGTCTTACGTGTTCCCAACTTGTCCCGTTAGTCTATAATGAATGCAGCTAGCCTCCTCTTCCTGCCTGCTCGCACCTTCCACGCCTTCCCCCTCTGTCAGTCCCTACATTGGCTTCCTGTAAAATATAGGACTCAATCCTTTCTTACAAATCTCTACACATGGAGTAGTCAACTTGGTCCCTACTGCCCACTATTGGACTGTTTGGGATTTCAGGTGGGTTCTGCAGAAAACGCCCAATTATCCATATCAGGATGATTTTTCAACTGAGGGCTGCTGTTTTGTCCCAGAGGCAACATAGGCCCTGTTTGTCAATATCGCAATACTCTGCCAGAAATTTGTTAACTATAAAAATAGACTCCCAGAGTGTTTTAACAAATATTTCTTTAAAACAATAATTCAACCCTTGCAATATTTTAAAATGAATACAAATCCTTAATGTACAAGACATTTTTAAAGGACTAATAAGTGAATATAATTAAATTAGTTCATTTTCTTCATTTGATCTAGTTTTATACAAATTATTATAGGCAAAACTGTGAAGTGTTTGCATTTTGTTAAATATTATATTCATACTGTGGCGAAACCGACCTCGCCACTGGGCATTGGAGAAGACTGATTGCCAGCCTCCTGCCATGTGACTATGGCCCCTGGGATGTATTGCCCTTTAAAGACATGATTTGGGCATAAGGGATTTGTGTTGTGCTTCTGCTGGCCCTTTAAGAACCATCTGGGGACATACTGTGGAGTTACTGGGTGGCCACCATTTCCTGTATCAGAAGCACATGGTGAGAACAATGGATGGCGCCATTTTAACTCACAGACACTGTTTGGACTTTTCAACACGGTGCCATCTTGCCAGTATTTGGTGCACAGAGACATCGTGCAGTGGTTTTGGACTATACAGCAGGGGACACATTATACAGTGATTGTTTTTCATTTAGCCTGTATATGTTCTGCAGAATCTGCATTAAACTGTATCTTCCAAAGTACTGAACGGATCTAGGTGAATTTTGGATATGTGGTTCACCCAGATCCCCCGGTTCCAAGGATATACTTGGATGGGATTATTGCATGTTTTGGGGTCCCTGTGATGTGTTTTATGAAACTGTATTTCTCTGTCTGTGATAATTAGATTACCCATTGTGTAAGGTAATTGTATCACAGGCAGAGGGGAGGATTTTGTGTGGGAGTGTCTGAGTGTATTGTACGTGCTATTGGTTGTTCTGTAAAACCCTGTGGGCAGTACTAAGTTTGTGGATTGGGAATAAAAGAGGCTGTATGTGCCAGTCCAGTGAGTTTCTGCTTAACCCTCAAAGTGAAGTGTCGTCTCATTATTGGGGGAGGATTTATTGTATGCTGTTCCAGTTTGACTGCTAGGAGTGTAAACCTATTTGCATGGTTTTTCCTATTCGGCTGTATACAACATTCATATGCTCCTACGGGTCTGTGGTTTTGGTGTCTGCTGCAGTGCTTGGAGTCCTCAGGAAGTGCTAGGAGCATCCTTTAACGGAGGTACCCAGTCAGGGTGCCAGGTGATCCGTTACATATACTTCATATTGTGTTTAGCATACATATGTGTCAGACGAAAGCCCATCTGTCTATATAGTATGTATCTGTGCATTTGTAGAGAAAGCATTACATTATGGTCAAGCAACACATACCAAATGAGCCAAAAGTAACACACATGACATTTTGAATAAGACTGTCACTAAAGTGTTAAACTGTATTTAAATAATAATTTAACATTATATTTGTCTTTTTTGCTTTAGGATTCGTGAAAAATTACAAGTAACTTTAATCTATGGAAACCATAATGGGAGGTATGAAGCACGCACAGCAGTCTGTTTCAATATCTAATACTTACATATCGTGCTCTAGTTTGAAGAAACATCAAAAAGTTAATCCAGGCATCATAAACACTACAGCACTACACTAAAGCACTTCAATACCCCTGTTGACCGCTCTCAGACAAGTGGTGCATTGTGCATGAAACTTTGCACAGAATTGACAGTTAGTAACTTTTGTTCAGAGCTTGGTAATGACTCTCAATGATGCTGCAGGAAGTGGAGTTACCTTTTTTTGGTGGTACAGCATTACTTACTGAGCACCAGACCAGAAGGATTGATTAATATGTTGTTCACTAGATTGAGGTGTAGACCATACGCTGGACCATCAGGGAATCCTTGTTATGTCAATGGACAACCAGCGATTTGTTAATATAGGGTTACTTCAAATCATAAAACCATGGTTTTAGTTAGACTAACCCTTTCTGTGGTGCTCTGCGCCCTACATGCAAAGCCCAGTTCTCCTCTGAGCCGATCCTACTTGGCTGACATCCGTCCCCCACACCAGAGGAAGGATGGACTGATGGGAGGAAAGCAGTGGGGTGCATCCATTGACTGTCTGAGCACCATCAAGCTGCAGAGAAATACAGAAACATTGCACATACAGAGTGCAGGCACCATGATCATTTCAAATTAATAAAGTTGCAAGTGGCCTTTTTGCTTTAAGTGACTTTTTTTTAATCTTTTGCTCTTGCAGGTCAAAGGATCTGTTTGGCACCATAATAACTATCGAAATGTAGTTGTTATGGTGTCAGGGAGTCCCTGGTGCTGCCTTACCTGAAGCTGTTTTTATGAAAGTGGAGCTACTGATTGGCTTAGAGCATCAGCTTATTGCTCTAAGCCAATCGGCAGAGCTTCTGCCTGACAGCTCTCTCAGGCTTCTGTTGAAAAAATGAAAAGTTTGAGAAAGTGGATTTGGAGGGGTCAGAGAGAAATGACGCTGGAGAAGAGCCTTTGGGGTTAAACCGTTGATGCACAAATGGTTTAAACTCTAAAGGTAAACCAACGCCAGGGACCTCCTGGCACCATTACAACTTATTTTTTTTACCATCTGCTCACTATAGGGAAATAAATATCTTATGACCCACTAAGTAAAATAGATTGAGATAAAAAATAAAAGTAAACTGTAACATAGTTTTGATATATACAATGTTATCCCCTATTAGGTAATCTCCCTGTTTTAGTGTGACAATTTTTGTTTTTAATATGTATTTGAAAAAGTGGACCCTAAATGTATCCTTTATCTTCTATATAAAAATGTATATATCTCAGTGCACTAGATGGATGATGGCATACAAGGCTGCAGCTGCTGATTGTCCTATTTGTACTATTTTTCAGATCTCCCTTTGATCACAGAAGAGAGTTTTGATTTTGATCCATATTACTCACCTGACAGGTAACATATATATGTTTGCTTTATGTTCATGATCATTGTCCTTCTTTAGACTTAATCATTTAGACATAACAAAATGTATAGTATGCAGATCAGGGAGTTTCTAAAAAAATAAAATTGCACAGTAATCTAGGTTGAAATGAAGACTAATCAATCGAGTTCAACCTTTTACACAATGTATTTTGGCTGTTGGTCCCTTGTACAAGCATTTTCAACTAAGCGAATTACTTTCAGTAACAATTTGTGTGGAACTCTAATAGATGCCTTAGCAAAATCACAAAACGTAAATAAATATAAAAAGATTATATATAAAGCAAAAAGGAACGAGATGCACTCTAAGGTCTTTGTAGAAAAAAAACTCGATATTATTTAATAACAGGTAACATACATCTGATCGACGTTTCGACCTCTTCAGGTCTTCCTCAAGATAGATATAGATATAGATATATATATATATATATATATATACCGTATATACTCGTCTATAAGTCGATCTCATGTATAAGTCGAGTGCAGTTTTGTGACCAACAATTGTGAAATATGCTATGCCTCGTGGATAAGTCGAGGGTAAAACTTGGGGCTATGAAGTTCTGTGATTTTTATAATTATATACACACACACTCATACAAACACACACTCTGCATTATATACACACACTCTGTGTATATAATGCAGAGTGTGTATATAATGCAGAGTGTGTGTTTGTGTAGTGTGTGTGAACTGGGTGGGGGGAGGGCATTTTTATTATTTTAATTTTTTTTAATTTTAATATTATTATTTTTTATTATTTTAATTTTTTTTTGTCCCCCCTCCCTGCTTGTTAACTGGTCAGGGAGGGGGGCTATCTTAATCCCTGGTGGTCCAGTGGCATGGGCTGTGAAGTGGGGGGGCCGGCAGGAAGCATTTACTTACCTTTCCTGCAGCTCCTGTCAGCTTCCTTCTCCTCCGTTCCGGTCAGCTCCACTGTAAGTCTCGCGGTCTGGTTGCCGCGCGGATCGTTGCCATGGCTCTGACGGCCGCGGCTCTCTAAGTTGCCATAATACAGACAGTGACTCGAGTATAAGTCGAGTGGGGGTTTTTAAGCACAAAAAATGTGCTGAAAAACTAGACTTATACTCGAGTATATACTGTATATATAAATATAAAATGTTTTATTTATTTTTTTAAACTGAAAGCAAATAAGTAGCTCCTGCGGGGTTAGCAGGCTATTAACATAGCAGGAGATAAGAAATTCTTAATTAAACAGACTGTGTAATGAATAAATTGTAAACCTTATAGTTCACTTTACAGGAAGTGTTTAGGAAGGCTGTGTACGTTACTTGCATAGAGGTGTGATTAGGGCTGCATAAACAAAGTGAAATAACTTCTAAATGGCAAACAACTGAGTAGCGAGACTGCATCTTAATGGGGCACTTAATGAAAGGAATGTCTGAATGCTGGCTAAATGAAAAAAGAGCTATTAAAAATAAATCCAAGTGTAATACTAAAAGGCCCACAGGAACATACTTACCAGGAACAGCATGCTGGGGGCGACAAAGGTAGAAGTGTAACAGAGATGAGATGTGTTAAATATACATTAGCTTAAAACTTAACAAACTTAAATTATCTTGGTCCTAGTAATCAAACAGACATCGTCCACTGCTGTGAGGAAATCAATGACCTTGTTATTTATTACTTTGTTCTAGAATCCAAAAAGAAAAGATTTGCCCTAAAGTAATGCAGTTCTTAATAAGCCAGAAAATCGACTATTGATGATTAGGGATACAAACCTAATATTAGAAGATACCTATTTAACATTTCAGGATAAATCACACAATCACCATGCTAATGTTTCTTATTCATAGCGATGATGAAGATGAAGCAAATCCTGTACTACATTGGAGCCCACTAAGTGCCCAGGGTATGGCGGAAATCACCAATGAAGCCAATAGGCTTGCAAAAGAGCTGAAGAAGGAGAACATATACAATCAGGGCCAGCACTCTCTTCTCTCTTTGGGCATAACATCAATTGAAAAACAAACTGAGAATAACTTTTCTTGGGAGAACCAAGTTAATTTTGTAAATGTTTCCTCTGGTTATCCAACTGGGACATTTTCCTCTATGACCGCTAATACCTATGCCTCTGAGAACCAACAAGAAAATACCTTTTATTGTGGACAGCAGTTATATAGTTGTAACCTACAAAACATGCTGGAAGGCACATCAACTCATACCTCATCAGATATATGTCTGCCAGTGTGCATCACCTCACCAGGACATCAATCCATGTTACTTTCAAATGGCACTACCAGTCTTCGTAGTCCCCGAAGAGAGACCTATGTAATTAAGGACAGTCCAAACAGATCTTTTTTGCCAGATGTATCCATCCCACCAATATATGAGCAAAGTAGCATAACTTCCCATGAAAAGAGGGAGGGAAATGGAACATCAGAAAAATACAAGAAATATAAATGTCCTATGCTGAGAACTTGTTTAACAAATGGCAGCCCAAGGGGTAATAATCCTGAAGGTTTTCGTAGCATAAGGTCGCAAATTGGAATGGTGAAATCTTGTTCAACAAAAGGCAGCCCAAGGGGTCATAATTCTGAAGCTTTTCGTAGTATGAGGTCGCCAACTGGGATGGTAAGGTCTTGCTCAACAAAAGGCAACCCAAGGGGTCATAATCCTGAAGATGTGTGTAATGCGAGATCGCCAACTGGGAATTCATCAGCAGGTAATGTGTATTACAGCAAGTTGTGACCATTATAATAGAATTATGTACTCCAACATTACAGATCTATGCAAACTTTTTCATATAATATATCCTTAAATGATACCTTCAATATCAATGGTGTATAATTTTTCTTTAGGCAAAAAGGAATTAGTACCTAAAAATAAAAATAGACCCAATAGTGTAAAACCATACAAAATTAATCCTCATTTGCGACAAGGGAACACTCACATAATTTAGATATAAGGAACCAAAGTCTGGTATATGGGTCCATGTAGGTGACCCTTTCTTCTTGATGCAACCAATAACTCAATATGTCCTAAATATATAGAGAGTAATACTGCACTTGCAACTGTATTATAAAAATGCAATCACTTGGATACTCACAAAATTAGAGCCTAAGATCTGTCTCACTCTCTGCACACTGTTAAAGGGCCATACCAGCTTTTTTAAGAAGCAGCAGGAACCAGATGCCATAAAGTGTTTATTAAAATTATATTTATTCACAGTACTATAACTATATAAACAAAAGTTAATCAAAAGAATTATGGTTAAGTCCAGAATACACTTTGGATTTCTCCAGATGCCCAAGATGCATTTCACCACAGGTTCCAGAGGCTTTGTCCTCTGGGCAAATGAATAGAAATTCTGTGCTCCTCTCACCTGCTTATGTCCCCTTTTAATAAGGGGATACTCCTCAAGTTATGTAAATGTGCACGATTATCCACAGTACTGGGAGCATGTAGCGTTAAAAGCCTTGTTTTCAGGTAAAATCTATGACACGACGGCTACTTCCGCATGAAGCTTTGTTGTGTCACTTCTGGATCGTCTTTGTATGCAGCTCGATGGATACCTTCTGCTTGCAGTCCAGCCGTCATCTGCATTACATTTAAGTGTCAATAATTTAAAAGTCTTTATGTAGCTCCACATACATAAGGCATTAAAACATAGAAAAAAGTCTCAGGGGAAATAAAATTAAAGTAATCAGGAGCCGCACGCACATTCAGCCAGTCTCATAGGAAACCATTCTCAATGCTTTCCTATGGACACTGGCATCAGTGAGAAGCGCGAAAGCGCCTCTAGCGGCTGTCAATGAGACAGCCACTAGAGGCTGGATTAACCCTATTATAAACATAGCAAAAAGGTTAGAAAAAAGGTTAAACCTAGCTGGACCTGGCACCCAGACCACTTCATTAAGCTGAAGTGGTCTGGGTGCCTATAGTGGTCCTTTAAGTAGTTTTGTGTCATTATTATGCATGCAAAAATGTTTTAGAGACTGAGTGATTTAAATATCCCTTTTTAATGTTTCTGCAATGTTCATTCAGTCTAGTTTTGAGGTTTCTTGTGGTCATAGCTACATACTGGAGGCCATAAGGGCACTCCAGTAAGTAGATTAAATTTTGGTCACTTTTGTTATTTAAAATTAAAAAGGACCGGAAGGGGCATGGCATTAGTGGTTTGTTTTTGTATGTTAGGAGATCTGTTCTTTCTTTCTTCCTAATACTATTTATGGTGGTGTTGAGGTGGGTTGGTGAATAGCTTTTTTCAATAAATGTATCTCTTAAAAAGTTGGCTTGTGTATGAAAATCTTCTAATTGAGAACAATTCCTACGGAGACATAGTAATTGGCTTTTTGGGGCAATTTCTAACAAGGGCTTATAATAACTCGATTGTTCAATAGCTGTATTAAGACAGACTTTAAAAAAAAAAAAATGTTTTCGTGTGGATTTTATCATCTTTAATAAAAATATTAAGATCTAAAAAATTAAGATTCTTTGCTATATTCACAGGATAAAATAATACCTCTATATTGTTTTGATTAAAATGGCGAATAAAATAGTTTAAGAGGTCTTCTGTACTCTCCCAGATAAAAAAATATATCTGAAATAGGTGACCAGGTTCACCCGCCAGGCATGTCCGCCCCAAATGGCCGTGGATTCCCAATCGGCCATAAATAGGTTGGCATAGCTAGGGGCGAACCTGGTCCTCATAGTACTCCCTTTCTTTTGGAGATAAAATGAATTGAGAAACCAGAAATAATTGTTATTAAGAATAATGTTAATGCCTTCTAATATAAAATCAATTTGAGCAGTGGGGGTTCTATTTTCTTTAGTTAAAATGTCTTTAACTGTGTGGCAACCTATGTGATAAGGGATTATGGTATATAGAGACTGTACATCACATGTTGCCAGAATAAAATTGGATTGCCATTTAAAATTAAGACATTGAAGTAGTGACATAGAATCTTTAACCCCTTAAGGACCAAACGTCTGTAATAAAAGGGAATAATGACGTTACACATGTCATGTGTCCTTAAGGGGTTCAGATAGGATCGTATGTAGTAAGGCCGTTTGGCCTGTATTTGTGGGAGTGGCTTAAGTTAACTTACTCCCCTATATAAGCTACACCTCTTACATGACTCCTTACCGATCAAGGTCAGCGTCTGAATGCACTTCCGGTTCATCCAGTCGCCATTTGGAATACTCACGAGGTCTTCCACGCTGAAACTGTGTCCAGGAACCCAGCAGCAGGTTTCCGTCCGACCAGCTTCTAAAGCTTCTTTTCGTCGCCGCAGATTACATCCTAGGCACTCGCCTAACGTAAGTTTACCTACCCGTTCCGCCTGGCAACCGTCCCACGGCATCGGTAACGGGCTAGGTACACACTTTACGGGCACGCTTCGGTTAAACTAACAAATCACTTTCCCGGCTTTTCTTTATCACTATGTATCGGGCTTACAATAAGCATACTCGTTCCGGTTAACAACTCGTAATTAGGATATAACAACGTACACATAAGCATTTATGTGTTCCATGGGTAAGCACATACAGCTACCCTCATTCATACATAACTCATGTTGCCCGACGGGCATTAGCAGTCAACCGTACAGCCAAATATCACTTATCTAATAGTTAAATATAATAAATAACTTCGGCTCACATAACTGTGATATATTTTAAATTCCCCATACCTCTGTGAGAAATGTATGTCACATGCGGCCGTCACTCATCACACACTCTTATCGGCTGAAACATTATACTCGCCGAAAAAACTACATTCCCCATAATTCCTCCATATGACGCCCAAGCACATCCTCCTTGCATCTCATGCCATCGCACGCCGGCAAGCGCAGGTACGGGCGCCAACTACATTTCCAATGGGGATTAACTCCAGTCACGCCGGTCACGTGATTTCCAATTTTCCCATTACATAATTCTCATTTTTAATTATGTATCCATATCACCATGTTCATATTTGCCACTCAATTGAGTTACTTTGATTACATTCTAATTATTATGTCACGTTAAGTTTTCCTCCACATATGATCACTAGAAAAATCACTTCCACACATTTGTTGCATTACGTTACTAAATACATTTCGGATGTCCATACCTACACTGCCACCTACAGGTCATGCCACATAATAGCATAAGGGTCTTCTATATACACTGACCCCTACAGGTCATATAAATAATGCAAGTATCACTTATATTATTTATTACATACTAATCCTGACACTAAGGTCATTCTCTGTTACATACATCAGGAATAACAATTTCTTTAGACACACCACAAACGGGCTACATGGCACGATTAGTCATTGTTTGTCATGGTGTATTAGGTCATACAAGCATATTTCAACTGCACTATGAATGTTACATGGTTTGCCCAACTTTTCAGTTTGATTATTGGGTTGCAAGCACTATGATTGTCTATGCGTATAAACTTAGATCATGATCAAATCACTTGTATGAACATATGGCATACATACATCATCATATTACAGGGCTGTACAAACAATGACCCTACAAATTACCAAAATGATAAAATACGAACACATATTTAGGTATAAATAGCAGTTAAAAAATTACCACATAATATAATTACAATTGAACTCTCGGATATCCTACGAACATCAACCCCATTGATCTCTCCAGGGCGAATAAACATTAATAAGAATGATTCATGCATTTTATTTTATTTTCATACGGTTTCCATCTATTTAGTTACAGGTATCTACTGCCACCTAAAAGGATTGTCTAAAAAATTCTTTACTTATACTTTCAGGTACGTACACCTGCTCACAGTATATCCAAATATGATCCCCAAATAATAGATAAGTACTGGCAGATAGGATCATTGGGGCCAATAGCTGTTATATCTCCTTCTCTGCATTATGCTTCGTATTAGCGGTCCCGCGAGGCCAACAAACCCGCCTCATACTCGGAGGCATACACCCCTCGAGCCACTCATGAGCTAGTCGCCTCGCAAGTTTCATAGAGAGGGCCTCACCAGTCACTCCCTTTCCTTTTTCTTTGTAATCTCACCGAGAGGCCATCATCCTGCCACTACGATCAGTGGCCACAAAAAATCCCATCGCGCCAACGCATAGATAGAGCCTCTCAAGCCACTTGGCACTAGCAGGGCCTCACCAGTCACAAACTTAAGCATAATCGTTTCGCCTTACGGCATAGCTAGCATGCCAGTACTAAAACACCGGGTTCAAATAATAATTTTACCTTTTATTTTAGTTAAACATGTCTCATGCAAGTGGTGAGGAGCTATCGCTTCCTAGTACCCCAGCTAGGTGCGAGACACCTTCTCACAGGGGAGATATGGCCAGTCCAGCGTCAATCAGATCCTGGACAATACCGCGCATTACAACAGAGTTAAGGAGACGTCAAATTCCCTACCCGGCTACAGCAAGGAGAGCGGAGTTATTTAAACTCCTAAACACGACAACAAACAATACGGAAGCAGGAGAAGGCCCCAGCACCACCAATTCTGGGGACATCCAGGCTATGCTGGCCTCACTTATGAACTCCATGGGCAAGGTCAACGACAGACTGGCTAACCTCGAGGCGGTGACCACAGCCCTCACCTAGGCAGGCCTTCCCGACACCGTACAACCGGCACTAATCGAACTACGGGTAACGTAAACTCGTCAGATTCCCAGGACGTTTATCCTGCACACACTATACCAACCCACATCAAGAAAGACATCCTGGAGGGCAAAGATGTCAACCTAGCGTCCTTACTAATTGCCTCCCAGGATGTGGTAGAGAACAAGACTTATATGTATGATGAGGTATCTGTGGTGGTCAGAGCTAAAGACTCCAGGTTGAACCGTAAACTGACCATCCCGGAATTTGTCTTAGCCTTTGGTATATTCAGAGATGTTATGTGTGAAGTGTACCCTAACAGAAAAGAGGAATTTGATCGTTACATGCACAAGCTGGTGGACCTTGGTAACAAATATGGTGGGTCGGCATTTTACGACTACCATAGGTCATTTTCCACCAAAGTGTCTGGCGCTCTCTCCCAGTATGGTACCCGTATCAACTGGAGCAGATTGGACACAGAAATTTTCTGCAGACACTTCGCAGGGCTTAAAACACCGGCTTGTGTATCCTGCTCTTCTACTACACACACCACAAATTTTTGTTCTAGCACGGCAGACGACCACAGTCAGGCACCCAGCACTAGCTACGCTGGTAGAACAGGGAAGAACGCCAGAGACAAACTGGGCCGTCCCATCATTTTCTATAGCAAATCACAGATTTGCAATAATTTTAACGGTGGCACATGTAGTTTTAGTGCATGTAGATTGTTGCATATTTGTTCACAATGTTTCAGGGCACATGCCAAATCTATGTGTCCTAATAAAATGTACCCTAAGCCATACCTAACGTCTGTTAACATTGATGTTCTAGCAGCACTAGTAGCCAATCACCCCTCCAGACATCTTGTAGAGTTTCTTATCACGGGATTCAAAGACGGGTTCCACACAGGCATCATACATATGCCCACTGGCCAATTAGAATGCCCAAATTTACAATCTGCAAACCAGAACCCAACAGCAGTAAATACACTAATAGCACAAGAATTGGCAGAATGGTTTTTGTTTGGACCGTTCACAACCCCACCATTTACATCATGGCGTACAAACCCCATCGGGACGGTCACAGGGAAAACTTCCCTCAAACAAAGACTCATTATTGATCTTTCAGCCCCTCATACCTCCACTACCCCAAGTCTCAACTCCCTCATTCCCTCTGAAGAATTTTCCCTTCAATACGCCACCATTGATCATGCCATTACAGCCATCACACAAACGGGTCTGGGAGCTTGGTTAAGTAAGACGGACATTACAAATGCCTTCAAACTGCTACCAATCCACCCTACACTATGGCACCTACATGGTATAAAATGGGCAGAAAAATACTATTTCTTCTCCCGCTTAACCTTCGGGTCGAAAAGTAGCCCAAAGATTTTTGACACTTTTGCTGAAACACTTTGCTGGTTACTACTAAAGATTTTAAGATGCCCCACAGTCATCCATTACCTCGACGATTTTCTGATGATAGAAGGGAACTCACTTCCGCCCAGTAGTCTTAAAGAAGCCATTAATCTATTTAACCACTTGGGTGTCTCAGTATCCCTCAAGAAAACTGAAGGTCCAGACACCATCATTACATTCCTGGGCATACAACTCGACTCTGCATCCATGCAAGCCAGCTTACCACACGACAAAATTGACAACATTATCAACAGCATAAATCAGAATATTGAGTGTGCACTTCCTTTCAGTCCCGCCGGAAACCGGAACCTGAAATAGAAGTTCCTGGCCGCGGAGCACGCTGTGAAGCCGGCCCACGCTCCAAGACAGGTAAGTAATTCTTCACATTCACTCCATAAGACGCACAGACATTTCCCCTCACTTTTGAGGGGAAAAAAAGTGCGTCTAATGGAGCGAAAAATACGGTATATCTTACAGGTATACAACATCACATGCTAACCCTAAGACCCAACACACATAGCTTCATGTCATCATACCAGGTAAAGAATATACTCAGAGGTATCCAAAAATCCATACCTCCACGACCACCACAGCGATTACCTATAGACAATAAACTTTTTCAGTCATTATCCGACCTATTAGATTCCAGACCTTTCCACTCCACCGCCAATTCAGTCATTAAAGCAGCTATGTACACAGCCTTCTACGGGTTCCTCAGGCCAAGGGAGTTTACCACTGTCACAACTACTCAAAAGGATAGATGCCTGCTACACAAGCACCTACGAAAACATAGTGACCACTACATACTCTCTTTACCCCAGTCAAAGACAAGCCAACATGCGCATCCAGTGGAGATCACATATTACCCTACCCTAAACAAATGGTGTCCAGTAGCAGCCTTAGACGCCTATCTTCTTAACACCACAGCACTACCATCACAACCTTTATTCCAACTGCAACACACAGTACTCACCACCACGGCATTCATGAGATATATACGATCCTACTAACAATGCTGGGTCTCAAACCTTCTCACTACTCTGGTCACTCGTTTCGCATAGGAGCAGCCTCCAGCATCCAGCGCCAACGTACCAGTACACGTCATCAAGTCATTGGGACGTTGGAAGTCATCCGCCTATACTACATATATACCCAAACCACCACAAGAATTAAGAAATGCATTTAAAGTCATATCTGGATAATTGTATATATTGTTGACTGTAATAAATATTTTGTTATTCACTTTTTGCCCTCTTTATTTACAGGCCTACCGTATCGTCGGTATCGGCACACCACAACCGACTTGCTCTTTTATACTATTCTAAGTTCCTACGGGAACCTCACACCTTATACGATTACTTAGCCCCTTACACAAGTAGTAAGGCCGTTTGGCCTGTATTTGTGGGAGGGGCTTAACCCCTTAAGGACAGAGCTTCAAAAGCTTGTCTTTCACTTAATGACAACGGCATTTTTTTCATTTTTTGCTGTTTGCGTTCAACTGCAATTTGCATTTTACTTATTTGTTGCACCAACACATATTATACATCGTTTTTTAAAGGACAGAAAGGGCTTTAATTTGATGTAACACACATATATATAAATGCTTATTTATTATAAAAAAATACAGAAAATGTAAAAAAATGAAAATTTTGTGTTTTTTTTTACAGTTTTTGCAATAATAATGTGTGCATAATTAGTGCAGGTTAAGAAAAGTAATTAAAAATAAATTAATTTAGTTGTTCTGATTTACAGAATATACAATGTGTCTGGGATTTTAAGTTTTTTTTGGTAATTACAGGTCACAAAGCACAAGGAGTAAAATAGACTTTTAATGTGGAGCGATTTTAGAATTTGGTATGTTTGTCTTGTAAGCTTAATAGCCATAAAAGAAAACATAATTGCCACACAAAAGTATATATTTATATAAAGTAGACATCACGGGCTATTTACCTAAGGTTGTTTTGACACTTTCTACGTAGCCATTTCACCGCCAACCTCTGCTAAATATTGGAGTAAAATTGTGTTTTTTTTGGTTTTTGGCACACAAACTTATAACAAAGAAATTCTCGTGTATATTTTGTAAAGTTGGTGTGTGCTATTCCTGTACAAAGTTTTATTTTGTGTTCAGTTACATCTGCTGAGTAAAATGACACCCCCATTGTATGTCTTTGCACTATTTCGTGAAGTTACAGTGCCATACAGGATACCTGTCCTTTTCAGTATTCACAGTAGAATTTTGAGAGATGGATTTAATGAGCCTTAGCTTCCATTTGGGGTATTATAACAGTTTGACTGTTCAAAAAACCCCCACAAAGGCCTACCATTTGTAAAAGTAGACACTCCAGGGTATCTCATAAGGTGTATATTGTGCCTTAACATGCCCCCATTTTTTCACCAATATATGCCAAAGTATGTGGTAAAAAATAATTTTGTGCATTTTTTACATACGGATTGCATTTTTGCTGGGCGTTTTGTATATTTCATATGTGCCACTAAGTTCAAACCTCCCAAATTATGCTCAGCTAAGTCTTCTGAGTAAAATGACACCCCATATGAATGTCTTTGGCACTATTTCGTGAAGCTACAGTGCCATATAGGAAACCTGTCCTTTACAGTATTCACAGTAGAATTTTGAGAGATGGATTTAATGAGCCTTAGCTTCCATTTGGGGTATTATAACAGTTTGACTGTTCAAAAAACCCCCACAAAGGCCTACCATTTGTAAAAGGAGACACTCCAGGGTATCTTATAAGGTGCATATTGTGCCTTAACATACCCCCATTTTTTCACCAATATATGCCAAAGTATGTGGTAAAAAATTATTTTGTGCATTTTTTACATACGGATTGCATTTTTGCTGGGCGTTTTGTATATTTCATATGTGCCACTAAGTTCAAACCTCCCAAATTATGCTCAGCTAAGTCTTCTGAGTAAAAAGACACCCCCAATGAATGTCTTTGGCACTATTTCGTGAAGCTACAGTGCCATATAGGAGACCAAGCCATATCCGTTTTTACCAAACTTTGAATTTTGACGCTGGCCTATGTGCAATTTCCAAGCATCTTCGCAGGTTTTAAATTCAAACTACCCCACAAAGGCCTACCATTTCTTAAAGTAGACACCCCAGGGTGTTTCAAAAGGTATATTTTGAACCTTAGCGTGGGATCATTTTTCCGCTAGCTTGTACCAGATGTAGTGGTAATAAGCGTTTTTTCTGCCTTTTTGACATACAAGTGAGTTTGCACAGTATATTTTGCAAACCTTATGTGTGCTACGACTGTATAATACTTCATATGTTGCTCAGCTATGTCGGCTGAGTACAGCAATACCCCCGTATGTACCTTTGCCAGGTATGTGTGGACATCGGAGGGGCACATTTGGGACACAGCCATTCCAGTTTTTTTCAAACTTTGAATTTTTATGCTGTGCCTATGTCCCATTTTAGAGTATTTTACCAGGCTATATAATCCAAATACCCCATAAAGCCATACCATTTCTTAAAGAAGACATCCCAGGGTATTTCAAAATTCATATTTTGAACCTTAGCGTGGGATCATTTTTCCGCTAGCTTGTACCAAGTGTAGTGGTAATAAGCATTTTTTCTGCCTTTTTGACATACAAAGTGAGTTTGCGCAGCATATTTTGCAAACCTTATGTGTACTATGACTGTATAATACTTCATATGTTGCTCAGCTATGTCGGCTGAGTACAGCAATACCCCCGTATGTACCTTTGCCAGGTATATGTGGATGTTGAAGGGGCGCATTTGAAACGCAGCCATTCAGTTTTTTTCTAACTTTGAAGTTTTACGCTGTGTCCATGTTCCAATTTGGAGTAATTTAGACGGTTGGTTATTGAAACTTCCCCACAAACACATACTATTTATTAAAGAATACACCCTGGGGTAATTCAAAAGGCATATTTTGAACCTTGGCGTGGGATAATTTTTTCTCTAGTTTGTTCCAGGTGTAGTGGTAATGAGCGTTTTTAAAATGTATTTTTTTAACTTTTTATAACTTTTTTACTTTTAAAAACTAGTTTTTAAACTTTTGTTTTGCGTATTAATTTTTTTTAAACTTTCTTAAAACTTTTTTACAGATTTAACATTTTTCTAAGCTTTTTTTTTTACCATTAACCCCTAACTAGCAGTACACAGCACTAACAGTAAATTCCCCATTTTCCCATAACTCCCACCCACCCCAGCTAGCAAAATACATAGTTATAAAATATTTTAATTAATTAATTAAATTGAACCCCTGAGGGTTAAAAAATAAATAAAAAGTTAATCCTCAGGGGTTAAAAAAAATTAGATCACAGTATAATACTGTGATCTCTATTTGATCGCTGTAGGCAGTGATCGACTGGCAGGGAAGGGGTTAATTTTTATTTGGACTAGGTAAAGGTTTTTTTTTTTTTTTTACTTAAACGTTATTAAAACATTTTTTAAGCTTAATTTTTTACTTTTTAAAGGTTATTTTAAAACTTTTTTTAACGTTAACCCCTAGTTAGCCTAACGCCAAATCCCCCAATTCCCCACTAACTTCCACCCACCCTAGCTAGCTAAATATATAATTTTAAAATATTTTAATTAATTAAATAAATTTAACCCCTGAGGGTTAAAAAAAATGAATTAACCCTCAGGGGTTAAAAAAAATAATCAGATCATAGTAAAATGTAATCCCTGCCAATTGATCACTGTAGTCAGTGATCAATTGGCAGGGAAGGGGTTAATTTTTTATTAAAATGGGTAAGGGGGACTTTAAATAAACTTTATTTTTTTTTCCAGCAGGGGGCAGGATCAGCACTGATCCGGCTCCCTGCACTTCACACAGAACCCGGAAGTGCAGGGAGCCGGTAGGTGAGTATACAGAGCACATGTGCTCGCTCAGACTTGCGGTCAGAGCGAGCACATGTGCTGGGCAGCCTGACCGGGTGCTCCCGGTATGCCTCTAATGCAGAGGCATACCGGAGCACCATTAACCCCGCGATCGCCGCAATAGCGGCGATCCAGGGTTAATTTTACCGCGTGACGGACGAGGTCCGTCACTCGTCGTTAAGGGTTTCGTCCTTAAGGGGTTAAGTTAACTTACTCCCCTATATAAGCTACACCTCTTACCTGACTCCTTACCGATCAAGGTCAGCGTCTGAATGCCCCTCCCACCCACTCCTCATTTCAACACTTTCTCCTTTCTTTCCATTTACTTTACTTACTTACTCCTTGGTGGGCCCTCTTTATTTACAGGCCTACCGTATCGACGGTATCGGCACACCACAACCGACTTGCTCTTTTATACTATTCTAAGTTCCTACGGGAACCTCACTCCTTATACGATTACTTAGCCCCTTACACAAATGTTTTATAGAATGTTGGAGAAGTATGTCAATATACTCTGATAAGTTACATAAAAGAGAGTTAATCCCGGATACAATCGGACGGCCTGGAGGGTTGTTAATATTTCTATGTATTTTAGGCAAGAAATATATGACTGGAATTTGTTTGTTTGGTTTTTTTGTATTTAAATAATTGAATTCTTGTTTGTTTAAAATGCCAGAGTCTAGGCCTTTCTGTAGGAGAGTGGATAAAGTGCTTTGAATATAATGAGTGGGGTCAGAGGGTAGTTTTTCATATATTTCATTATCTTTTAACTGTCTGTGTGCTTCTTCTATGTACATATTGCTTGATAAAATTACAATCCCCCCTCCTTTGTCAGCAGGTTTAATGACTATGTCTTTGTCATCTTGAAGTTGTTTTAGTGCATTCTGTTCAGGAAAGTCAGATTATGTGAATTATATTTGTTAATATTGATTTTTTTTTTTTCAAAGTCTTTTAGTACAAGTTTTTCAAACATTATCAAGGGTGCAGATTTACAGTAGGAGGGATAAAACTTAGATTTTTTTTCTTTCAGACCGGTGTTTATAAATTGATGATTAGCTGTTAAAATAGGGTGATGTAAAATTACTGGTTTGTTCTTTTTCATTTAAAAAACAGTCTTTAAGGTGGCTTTACGGACAAATTCGTTGATATCTAAAAATGCCTCAAAAGGTTTAAATGGGTTGGTTGGAGCAAATCTTAGCCTTTATTTAAGATGGATATTTGGGTGGCAGATAGTATTTTGTATGATAAGTTGAAGATACCACAATTAGCTTCTTTGGGAGTGTTTACTGCCTTTTTAACCTCCTCTCTTTTGTGTTTGTCTGCCACTGCGTTTTCCTCTGGACTTAAAGACCTTTTTCTTGATTGTAGTGGGTAAGGTGTTTGAGCTAGTGAGTTGGAGTGGGTGCAAATTTCTAAAAAATTATCCTCATTTTCTATCCCAGAGTCTAATGATAAAAGTTGGAATCTGTTAGGATGATTTGGAATTGTGGATGATTTGAGGTAGTTAGAGTATTGATTGTGGTTGTTGGTTTAGTGAGGCCTTTTGGGGTTTAGGTGAATTGGGTCTGTGACTTTGGCCTGGAACATTGTAATAATTAGGTGATCGTGATAGTTTATATGATGGTTTGCGGTATCTGTTTGGTGATGGGTAGTGTTGAGGTCGGTGGTAATTGGAAAATGTGTTCTCGTGGTGATTGTTTATAGGCTCTGTGAGTGCGTGGTTTGAATGGGGAGCGGTGAAGGGGTTTGCGTACAGTGTAGTGTTGGTGTTGTGACATATATTGGGGTTTAAATGTGTGAGCTCTGCCGTGGTGAGTAGATAGAGAAGGATACTCATTGGGGGAGGATTGTCAGAAATGTATCTTATGTTTAGATGGTATGTTTTTACTTGTTTGTTAGTATAGTCCTGTTTATCCCTTATATACTTTTTTGATTTTTAAATGTTTTGTATCCATCTCTATTTTTTTCAGTCTTACTTTGGATTAGGATGGAGTTTTGTTTATATACATTAGACTCCATAAATGGCACAAGTTTATCTTTGAGATCATTAATTTCTAGGTCTAATAAAGACAACTTTTTACTTTTTTTGCAATTAGTCTCCATAAGTCCAATTTTACATATTTCAAGTTTGTTCCATTCGTCCATAACTTCTAAGTCATCTTGATATGAAGTGGGCAATTTTAACAGTCTTAGACCATGAGGAGTTATCTGTTCGTCTATATATATAAATATATATATATATATATATATATATATATATATATTTATTATTATTATTATTATTATTATTATTATTATTATTATTTAGGGTAGCTATTTCCCACTTTAGTTTTATTTCATACTCTCTCTAGTTTGGTGAATAGTTCTTGTTGGCTTAATGTATGGTGTATAGTGGGAACAGGACTGATAGGTCTGGTGGGTTCAGTGTCAAAAACATTATGAACATCGCTAACATAATTATTTCAAAAATAAAAAAAGACATTGTAGTAAAAAAGCAACTAAAGACAGATGGTATAAAGATAGATATACAAAATACAACAGGAAGTCAGCGCTAGCTAACAGACAAAATGTAAATGGGCAGCAACCCAAACGAAGGAGACCCCTCAAATCCTTCAACAGATCGATAAAGCAATAATAATATAGTGGCACTTTTCCCCTTGATTGATTTAAAGCGTTACCAACTATTTTAACTCGTATAGACCCTGGAGTACGTTTTATTAGAGAATTTGTATTTCACACATTAAAGGGACACTATAGTCACAAGAACTACAGCTTAATGTAGTTGTTCTGGTGAGTATAATAGCTCCCTTCAGGCATTTTCATGTAAAAACATTGCCCCTAGGGACACCTCCAAGTGGCCACTCCTCAGATGGCGACTGGAGGGGCTTCCTGGCTCAAGGCTGCACAGTAAGCAGCCCTACCGTTCAGCGTCCCCACGCTCTTCATGGAGACGCTGAATTTTTCTCAGAGATGCATTGATTCAATGCATCTCTATGAGGAGGTCCTGATTGGCCAAAATGGCATTTGGCCCCGCCTCATGCTGATTTTTGGCCAATCCAATGTTTTCCCTGTGGCCATTTTGATGATGTCACAAAGGGGGCGGAGCCCGCGGATCCGCTTGGCGCTGGAAATAAGGTGAGTTTTAAACTTTTATAGGAGGGCTAAGGGGGCGCAAGCCACCTATATGGTGAGTTTAACACTATAGGGTCAGGAATACATGTTTGTGTTCCTGACCCTATAGTGATACTTTAATCACAAACTATTATATAATTTATTGTGACAAATAATTACTAATAATATGTAACATGCGTGATAATAAATCAGTGAATATTTAGGTATAACAGAAGTATACAATATGGCAGCAGTTATGACAAAATTTCAGATAGCTCTTAGCAACATATCCACATAGCAAATTAAAGCAACATTACAGAAAAACTCAGCTTTGCTAGACATTCCTTAATACAGAACTTCTCACAACCTTGCACACAGCTTATAGTCATAAAAAAACTTTTGCTGTCAGTTTGAATCACACAGAGTTAACTCACTCACTGCTTGTTGGGAATAATACACTTTGCTTATACTGACCCAAGGCTCAAGCTACAAATGATAGGATGTTCAGTCTGTTTAAAATTGGCTAACTTGGAGCATGTCAGCTATTTGAAATAATATACTTTATCTATATACAATGCTGAGTGAATATTCCCCTAGACAAGAGCTATAGAACATTGTGTAACAAGTGTTAGTATTATATCCTGTAAGTTTCTGCTGTTGGCCTTATTTCATGTGTTTCTCCCTTTTGATCATAACCGCTTAGTAATGTGTAATTTAGAACTGCATAGTAAATATCTTTCATTCTAACTGCGTATGCATATTAATTTTAAGTGCGTAGTTATAGTGAAATTTAGCTTTGTGCAAGGCCTAAACATAAAGATACACCTGCAAGCTTTCTATAGGTTAAGATAAGATAGATGATTTTATTAGGATTGGATAATGCTTGTAAAGTCCACCCCTGTTACACTGCCCATTAAATGTCAGAAGTCACTTTGAACCTTACTTTGTCTTGTCTTGTTGGGGCTCCTCTCCAGCTGGTTTGGGGGACGAGGAGAAATACAGAGAGTTGCAAATTGACACAAAAGGCCATGGCAAGGGAAAAGGCCTGACAGAGAAAATTCCTCACTATCACTGCTGGTTACAATTCTCACAGGAAAAACACCTTTAATATTGCAATTAGCAAATACAATATTTCTCATACCAGATCAGTTAACCATGCCTTCTCATCCAATAACCAATGAGAATAATTATAACCAGATTTTACATTGCAGATAGTGAACTTTCCTGATAAAGATTAACTGTCCCTAAATCCAGATAAGTCAATATCTCTGGATAATAGCTAGATATGCTAAAATTGGCAAATTACCAGTAAATTTATTGTTGATTTATTCCACCTGCAGTAATGGAATGTATAACCATATATATCCTTAGCTAATTATGATTTCATAAGATTGGAAATCTGACCAGCTTTTATCAAGGTATAATTCTGCTTTTAGTAAAAATTAATTAATTTTAATTAAATCAACCCCGTAGTGACCAGACTGTGTTTCAATTTTCTTACCTTTAAGGACCAGGGCTGTTTTTACATTTCTGTGGTGTTTGTGTTTAGCTGTAATTTTCCACTTACTCATTTGCTATACCCACACATATTATATACCGAATTTCTCGCCATTAAATGGTCTTTCTAAAGATAACATTATTTTCATTTATAATTTACTCTAAAAAAAATTATAAAATCTGATCAAAATATTTTTTTAAAAACACACCTTTTCTAACTTTGACCCCCAAAACCTGTGCTAAATAGTATCTAAATTTTGTCCTGAGTTTAGAAATACCCAAATGTTAACATGTTCTTAGCTTTTTTTTTTTTTCTTTTTTCACTTTATAAGGCTATAAGTACAAGTAGGACATTGTCACTATTGATAAATCTTCAAAATAGCACTGTTATCTGTCATAAATCTCTGAATCACACCTCACATATACATATTTTTGTAAGTAGACAACCCAGGGTATTGAGTATGGGGTATGTCCAGTCTTTTTTAGTAGCATTTATATTTGTGTGTTAAAAATGCAAAAGAAAATTATGAACACTAACTTTGGCCAGTGTTTGTGACTAAGTGGCTACTAAAAAAAGACTGGACATACCCCATTTGCAATAGCTTGGGTGATCTTCTTTTGCAAATGGTATGCCATCATGGGGTTAATTCTCATTCCTGGGCAACTATACGCTCTCAAAGGCAACATAACCCATCTGGCAAATTTTAATGTGAAAAAATAGAAAATCAAGCCTTATATTTGACCCTGTAACTTTCAACAACACTATAAAACCTCTACATGTAGGCTACTGTTATACTTGGGAGACTTCGCTGAACACAAATATTAGTGTTTCAAAACAGTAAAACATATCACAACAATGATATCATCAGTGAAAGTGCCGTTTGTGTGTGAAAAATGCAAAAAACTCCACTTTTACTGACCGTATCATCGCTGTGATATGTTTTACTGTCTCCCGAGTACAATTAACCCTCAGGGGTTAAAAGAAAAAAATCAGATCATAGTGAAATACTGTGATCTGTATTTTGATCACTGCAGACAGTGATCAAAGGGTAGGGAAGGGGTTACATTTTATTGGGAAAGGGTGAGGGGGGCTGGAATTTCCTTAGTAACTTTTTTTTTTTTACTAAGGGAAGCAGATTGGCACTGATCTGTCTCCCTGCACTTCACAGCTTTCATGGAGCTGCAGGGAGACGGATCGGGTTTCATTGCCGCACGTGTGATCGCTCTGACTCCTGGTCAGAGCAATCGTATGGGCTGAAACAGTGAGACTGCCTGCAGCAGTTTGCCTCAGACAGGGAGGCACACTGCAGGAACATTAACCCCACGATTGCGGCAATCTATCGTTAATTTTAGTATTGGACAGACATTTTCCTTAAGGGAAGGACTGCAATGACGGAAAATTTCCATCCAGCGTCCTTAAGGGAGAAAGTCTAAAAGAAATTAAAGGGAGACTATATAGCTTTCCCCTTTCTCAAAGGTTAAAAAAAAAAACAACCCTCCTGTCACTTACCTGGGTCCTGTGTCAATGTCTCTCTGTGCTGGCCTGGGTCAGCTTTCTCTCCTCCCCCACCATCGGGGGAAACATAATGCGCATGCACAGCAATGTCTGCGCTCGCATTAAGATCTCCCCATAGGAAATCATCATTCCTGATTTTATATGGTAAACAGCCACTAGAGGTGGGGTTAACCCTAGCAGGTAATTATTGCAGTTTCTTAAAAAATACAATAATTACCTGCTCATGGTTAAGAGACCTGGGACACTGCACCCAGACCACTTCAGTGAATTGAAGTGGTCTGAGTGCCTATAGTGTCCCTTTAAGATAACCCAAAACCATAATTATAATAATAGAATAAGAATATATATATATATATATATACATTCCTGGTGAATGATAGTATCATACAAGACTTAAAAAAAAAAAAACTGGGGGCGTGGCCTAGCTCATGGCACGGACGGTCGCATGTGAATAGTGCTCCGATCCTAACAGCCCGAAAAAGCGTTTTTCACCAGCAATAATTATTGACAACCCTGACCACAACTCCAGGGAAGATGTCCCAAGCAAGGTCCAAACAAAAACTCCCGGACAAGGGAGAAAAAAGCTCGTTCTTCGGAACCAGGCCGCAACAGCCTAAACAGGCCGCCTCGCACGAGAGTGACCAAGATGGCGACGGTGATGATACGATGCCACTCCACGTCGACCCGGTAGGGAACTTACCAGTCACACAAGAGATACTGCAGAAGTGCCTGGACGCGATGTCCAACAAACTCCTAGACAACCTAAACAAATCAATAGCAGAGATAAAGAAAGACGTGCGCGACTTAGGGGAGCGCGCGGCTGGGGCGGAAAACAATATGGACGAATTTGCGGAGGCCCACAATGATATGGCAGACCATGTCCAAAGGTTAGAACACCAACAACACCAACTCCAAGTGACAATAATGGACATTGAAGACCGCTCGAGAAGGCAAAACATACGACTAAGGGGGATCCCTGAAGAAGTAAAGCACCCAGATTTGGCGGAATAGTTAACAAGCCTCTTCCGAGCCATGTCACCAGACTTACCTATAGACATGCTGCTGATTGATAGGGCTCACAGGGTGGTAAAACCTAAATTCCTACCGGCCGAAGCACCAAGGGATGTCCTAGCAAAATTACACTACTACCATATTAAGGAAGAAATTATGCAAGCTTCCAGAAAACGCCGAGATATTCCTGAAAAATACAAGTCCATACAACTCTACTCAGATCTCTCTGCCCTGACTCTGCAAAAGCGCAGGGAATACAAAGACATCACAGACACTCAGAGCAAGACAGGTGCCATACCGGTGGGGTCACCCGGTTTGCCTCCTGATCCAGAGAAACGTAACGGTAACCATCATCCTGTCCCCAGACGAAGGCAGAAAAACCCTCGGGACCTGGGGGATAGCACTGCAGCAACAGCCGGAAAAAACACAAGCTACACAGAGGCTGTCGCCTGAGTGGAAGAAGCAGCGCAAGTGAAGACGATACACGCCCGATGAAGACGATACACCAATGGGTCTGATTATAAATTTACATGCATATGTACCATAGACTTTTAATGGTGTAGTTTAATGGTGTAATTACAGAGTTTAATGTTAATGCGAGGCTCTGCCCTGCTAAAGTTGTCGATTTTTTTTTTAATTTTTTTTTTGTCGAATTGACGAAAATATGTAAATGCCGATTGCATTCGTTCACCTCCTAGTGGAAGTTCTAATACTAAACAGAAGCAGCATAAGTTATAGATTCGATAATAGTAATTTAACGTCACCAAAGATAAAAAAAAAAAAAAAATCCTGACATCGAAGGGACTGCTAGCCACGACAGTTAAAACACTAGGAGGCAGTACCAAAGCTAGACGAGAGGAGCTATATGTTGTAGTTTGTTGAATGCTAATGAGCTCAAAGGTTAACAACAGGGAAAAGCTGGCTGCATAAGGGTGCCCCAGAAGGCTGTACATTAACCAGAGGGAGACAGTTAAAAAGTATGGGTTACAGACTAAACAATTGCAATTGTGTACAATTGCTAGTAACGGGATGGCATTGGCGACCCCGCTCTAGCCCCCGAGAGGCAGCAACAATAGCCGGGCGAGGGAAGTTATATGTTAAGCGTTATCAAAGTGACGAACGACACTATAGCTACAGGATATAAATGCAGAAATGCTAGCCGCGTCAGCAAACCTCCTAAGTGCAGCAGCAGGAAGGTTATATGTTACAGGTTATCAGTCTGACAGTTGAAACTTTGTCTTGATGCTACAAATGTCAATCTCAATGTATTAACATGCAACGTGGGTCAGCATGGGAACTAGGTGTGCAGACTGGCCTTACACTTGAGATGACACCGAACCTGATTTATAGAGATAACACACACTAAAATACAAGACCCCACGCACGAGAAGCAGGAATGGGACACCAATAGGGTCTAAATGATTTGACGTGTTCCTGGTTCCGAACCACACCTGACTCTATCGGTATCATATCTCTCATCACCAGAAACGAAAGGGCTAAGCCAAACGCTGACGTACAAAGTTAAGAATCATTCCACGACCCCCAGAGGTTATACGGAATAGTAACCACACCCAGATTTGGGTATTAGTAGTGATGACTACCGTTATGTTCTCCCCCAATTACTCCCCCATGCCCCTTAACCCGCTATTCATTACCCTATCCGCCACAGTTAAACGACCCACGACAGCCTACAATCATGACCTCAAACAACCAACCTCTGAGCGAGTTTATTTCAAGCTCAGGGAGAAGCCAAATACACAGATTAGCCTCCTGGACAATGCCATATTAAAGAGCAATAACAATAAAACCCCTGTGACAGACAGCTATTACCTACTGAAACCCTAATATGAAAGTATACTCTCATAACGTAAAAGGTCTAAACACACCGTATAAACGCCACTGCCTCTTTAGAGACTTGAAACAAGAGCAAGCGGAGATAATTTGCCTCCAGGAAACACATTTTAAAACACACCCAACTCTAAGGCCAGACTTATTCCCACACCAATACCACGCAACAACGGGACATAAATCCAAAGGAGTGACAATATTAACTAGCAACAAAGTTGCATTCACACACCACGACTCCTCTATCGACCCCCTGGGCAGATACATAATATTAGTATGCACCATCAATAACGACTTGTATACTATAGTCTCAGTCTACGCACCGAATACAGACCAAAGGAATTTCCTCCACAAGCTGTTAGCCAAGATAACACAACTACAGAAAGGAATGCTGATCCTATGTGGTGATTTCAATCATATTACAGACCCAAAGCAAGATACCACAGCACAACTTAGCTCCAAAACAAGATCAAAACAAATCCAAGCGTGCACAACATATCAGAAACAACTAGATGAACATCAACTATACGATACGTGGAGAGTACTTCATCCACAAATAAAATATTACACTTACTACTCAGCACCGCACAAAACGTACACACGTATAGACAGATTCCATATCCACAGACAACACCTAGACCAGTTACTCGACAGCAATATCAACACAATAAGTTGGTCGGATCATGCAGCTATAACACTAACGATTAAAGACGAATATGACTTCAAGCACAAGAGCCCATGGAGACTTAATGAATCCCTATTACACAACCCGATGGTCACTAAACATCTAGAGGAAGAAATCACACAATATTTCAACACGAACAATACAGAGCAAACTAAGATAGACACGGTATGGCAGGCGCACAAACCAGTCATTAGAGGCTTGCTAATCCAAACAGCAGCGAGGACTAAGCGTGACACCCAGGAGCAATGCATAAAATGGAACACTCAACTGACAGACCTCACCACCAGAAACAAAACATCCCCGACAGACTCACTGCAAACCCAAATCAAGGATGTACAAGACAAAATTAAAGAATACACACTACAAAGAGTGAGCTATAATATACATAGACTCAAACAACAACAATGCACACAAGGCAACAAAGCAAGTAAATTACTGGCATCTAGACTCAAAAGCAGAGTAACCAATAGCAGGATACAATACATAATAGATCAGAATAACAAAAAAACTAATTTCCCCGGTGGAGGTGAGCAACGCCTTCGCCTCCTACTACAAAGGGTTATATAACCTAGAGACCTCAGACCAATTAAAACAGAGTGATGAAGATATACATGCTTACCTAGCAAACACTCAATTACCGACACTATCACCCACTCAGATATCAGAATTAACGGCCCCCGTGACAACACATGAGGTAGAAGTTGTAATAAAAGCGCTGCCGAAAAACAAAGCACCAGGCCCTGACGGCTTCACAAACCTTTACTACCAAAAATTTCAACACATTTTATCATCCTACCTTGCGTAACTATTTAACTATGCCACTCAAACAGGTACACTCCCTAAGGAATTATTCATGGCACATGTTATCACCCTCCCCAAGCCAGGCAAACCACCGACTCACTGCCCCAACTTCCGTCCAATATCGCTCCTCAACACTGACGCCAAGCTATATGCCAAAGTCCATGCACAATGACTGAGTCGCATACTACCCCACCTGATACATACTGACTAAGTGGGCTTTGTAGCTGGAAGGCAGGGGTCAGACAACACACGTAAGGTACTGGACCTGGTACACAGTGTGAGGAGGGGGGGATCAGGGGCCTTCTGGTGTCCCTAGACGCTGAGAAGGCCTTCGACCGACTCAGTTGGTCCTTTCTGCAGGCAGCAATTTTCGTTCCCACAATTCATTAATGTGATCAGAGCCCTATACAACCATCCTACAGCCAAAGTTGTGACAGCTGGATTCTGCTCGGACACCTTTAAGATCACGAATGGGACGAGACAAGGCTGCCCGCTGTCACCTTTGCTATACGTCTTAGCATTAGAACCACTAGCAGTCAAAATTAGAGACGAAATCTCCATAAAAGGAGTCACGCTTGGAACTGAGGATTATAAATTAAGCATATTCGCTGACGGCATCTTTTTGACACTGACAGAACCATTTATCTCACTGCCCAACCTTATGAAACACATAGAACAATATGGGAAATACTCCTATTACAAACTCAACTTAACCAAAACACAGGCTATGGGGATTAATATACACAAACAACAAATGGAAACACTAAAGGAGAAATTCCCCCTGGACTGGCGAACGGACTTCCTAAACTTCCTCAAAATCGTGAAAAATCCAGCAAACCTTTTCAAGCTCAACTACTTGAGTATTTTATCGAACTTTAAAGACACTCTGAAAACTTGGGAAGGGAAATACATATCTTGGGTAGGTCGTATAACAGCAGTAAAAATGACACTCCTACCTAAACTCCAATATCTGTATAGAACCTTACAAATCCCACTGCCCAAAAGCTTCTTTCTCACGGCCCAAAACATACTCCTTAGATTCGTGTGGCAAAACAAAAAAATCAGAATAGCCACAAAGATTATACAAAGAGAGGTAATCAAAGGTGCTCTAGGGTTCCCTGACATACAAACTTATTACAAAGCAGCAATCCTTCATACAATATCACAGCTCAAACCATGACCTGACCAACCACAATGGCTTGGGATAAAATCCCACTGGGCTCACCACTCCACAATTTACTCATACCTCCGGACCCCAAAACATTGCAGACCCACGACACACCACTTGCTCCCCACATCCCAATTACTACTCGAAATATGGGACTCAGTAAAGAAAAGCATGACGGCCTACCAGCCAATACCCCTAGCGACCCCAATGGAGGTAATGTCCGGGATAATACCCACACTAGATCAAAAAAGATGGTTAGAACACGATATCAAACATATTGAACAGCTATATGACAGGGGGGAAATCATGCATTTCCCGGCACTGCAAACCATGTACAATCTTCCCAGTCAAATGCTGTTTCCATACCTGCAACTTAAGTCATGCCTGGAGCACACCCGACCCCAAACACTACACGATGAACCACACCAGAAATTATCTACTTTTGAAAAAATCTGCACAAACGCACTGCCCCCCAAAAAGGTGATATCACTGTGCTATAAAGCTCTGATACACTCCCAGACTAAAATAAAAATCACATATAAACATGCTTGGCACAAAGAATTGAACCGAACAATTAGTGAGGAACATTGGATAAGAGCGTACTCATCACACAGAGGCATCACATCATGCACTAATTACTTAGAACTCCAAAGAAAAATTCTATATCGCTGGTACCTGGTGCCAGATAGGATTCCCAAAATATGGCCACAATCCTCCACAAATCAATGCTGGAGATGCAAGAAACAGGTGGGGACGATGTTACACACATGGTGGACCTGTGATATCATACAATCATTCTGGCGCAAGGTTGCGCATCTCATTCAGCAAATAACAAACGCCAACATAGAGCCCACGGTAGAGATGTGCCTCTTATATATACCACCAGAAAACTTAACTAGAGCTCAATGGGCAGCTATCTACCATATTTTAATATCAGCCGCAATGGTGATAGCTAGATTATGGAAATCACCCTCCGCACCGAACTTCAATACCCTCCTCAACCAAATCAACACTAACTGGCAATATAAATCAATGCTTGTACATCAAAGAGGCCTGAACAAATCAATGGCAAAAGCCAACTTGATTTGGAAAGAATATTGAGAGGCGAACAAAAGCTGGTCACACCTCACCAAAACCCAAAAAAATTGTCCCGATGCCCCAGCGATCACCGGTACACTCACATAAGATACCACAATGGTTTGAAACCCCACCATGGCCCAAAGCAAATAGGGCTAGCTCATATTCTCATGTTCACAAGACACTGCAAATAACACCACTCATAAGAGTATAAAGTCGAATGGATTTGTGGAGAAGGGGTAGGGAGACAAACACCAAATCACTAGTCGCAGGGGGTAGACTAGTCAAAACACAGTCATAACCCAGAAGAACAGAGGCTAACAACCAACAGGAAACAAGTCATGGGCCAATCAGGGTGCTACTGCTCAACAAGGTATAAAGGACCCTTTATGAATGATATAATACTGATGGCAACCCCTCTCCACTCCCCCAACCATCCCACCACCCATAAGCAATACTAACATTACAATGGATATGTAACGTTATTGCCAATGCTGTACAACATGTTTTACCCCCCCCCTTTCTTCTGTACCCCATTCTTTTGTGAAAATAAAAATTGTCAAATTGGAAAAATAAAAAACTATAAAGCTAAAAAAGGAAGAAGAAAGAAGGTATGGAAATGCCTTGCAGGAGGAGCAGGAATAGTACTGAGTAATGCACCTTGTATAACTGCAGCTCTGCCATCAACCATAGGAGGGCACAGTACAGTGCAGTTTTCTTCTCGTTCCATGAGCATTGTACACTAGAAGCTTGACTTCAAGAACATCTCCATCCCACCTATGCTGTTATACTTGAGCCAGTTATATACCCGACTCAGAAAATGAGTGGGATGTAGTAAAATAAAGTCACCAATTATTTTCCCTATTTTGGCACATACTGTATTGCACTATTATTAGCACTTTTTCTTTCAGAGATATCCTAGATATATCATTATATGGTAAATTTTTATGTTCCTTGCTCACTTACCTATGATCGGAGTTAATACTTTTAATATCCTATATTCTATGCATGATTCACTTTACACTGGTGTGCTCTCCACCATTTTGTGTATTGTATCTATGTTTGTGTCAAATTTTGTGATTTATTTCATGGGGGCATTAGCAGCACTGCCTGTTGTGTGTTTTTAGTGCAATTACACATGTTTTGGTTCTATTGCTGTATTAACAGCCTGTATGGTGATTGTCAGTAGTCTACAAAGACTGGTCTCGCTGATTTCAGCTTTTATGGCGATGTGGAGACAGTGGCGTACACACAATCCATGGGGCCCCGGTGCAAAACTGTCACTTCCAGTCACTTCCTCCCAGCTGTGATGTCATCGCTGACCGGGGCCCCCTGGAAATCCATCTCTATCACATGGCGGAAGTCACCCTGTCGCAGGAGTCCGCAGAGCGGCCAGGCCCCCTGGAGTGAAGTGCCTGGTCGCAACTGCGACCGCGGTATGTATGCCACTGTGTGGAGACCAGCTTTTATATGGTCAAAATGCAACTTGTAATTTGCACATCCTTGTTCTATTTTCCATTAAAATGTAACTTTTCACTTTTGTATATGCTGTGCTCTAGTAAATAGTTTTGAGGACACATTTTCTTTAAGCCCTTAAAGTAAATCTGTGCAGGTTTTTTTTGCATATTTTGAAAAGATCTCCTAAGGTGACATGTCCAGTTAGGATTTTTGGCTACAATGTGCGGTGGAAGGTTGGTTAATTAACCTGAAGCTGCCACTTGTGGCTTCCATCTTCATCCTGGACATCTTCTTTGGTATTGGTGCTTCATCTACTAGGAGGCATATCAGTGCTGTACTCTTGCGCATTCGAGTACAACTCTGAAGTCTATGGAGGAGACTATGGGAACCTCTATAGCTTACGTCTTGCAATGAGGGAGATGATGCCTGAATCTCACGGCTGTCAAGTCAAATTGAACAAAAGTTATAGGCAGAGTTCAATCTTTTGACAATCTCAGGCTTGTAACTATGTAGCTTGCCCTTAAGTCACAACTTGCCCATAAGACAAATTAACCCCTACTTTGTTTTATGGTACCTTTCTATTTCTTTGATATTCCAATGCTGTGAGGATTCGTTATTCATAAAGATTTTACATTAATGAAAGACAGAGAAGTGACAGAGCCGCTTGAAACATGCAGTTTTCATGTTATTTTTCCACAGAAGGCTGATATTTTAAATATTTTGCTTTGGCTAAATAGCCAACATTCAAAGTTGCTTTATTAAAATGATATCGTCTTTGTACATTCATTTTCTGTAACCTCTTATCAATATATACATAATATATATAATAAGATTCCTCTTCTGCAACTGTCATTAGTCTAGTACTATCCTTACCTTTTTGTGTCATTTTACCCCACTCTCTAGCATGTAAGTTAATTGAGCAGGGCCCTCAACCCCTCTGTTCCTGTGTGTCCAACTTGTCTGGTTACAACTACATGTATGGTCGTCCACCCATTGGAAAGCGCTGCGGAATTTGACGGCGCTCTATAAATATCATAATAATAATAATAATTTATTTTTTTACTGCCAGGTAAGCCAAAAGTCCACCATGTACATGCTGCATACCTATCCTCTGGAGTCCCCACCTTTAACAGTCGTCTACCAGTTCCTAAATCTTTAGGAACTCATTCCCTTGGAAACACAACACATACTGAACAGAAAGTATGCATGAGGTTAATAAGACCTTCTACACAGAGGGGTGAGAACCAAAATTATGAAAAGTCTAATTATTTTATGTGCACAATTCTATATACCACTAACTTTATTACTCATTATTCTGTCTTTTCACAGGATCTTTACAGAGACCGCCTTCCAATTTTCAGTCCTCAAGCCTGCTAGGTAAGGGGGGATTCTTGAAACCCCTTTCCCTGAATAAAGCAGATAACAAAATCAACTGACTTAATTTATGCCAAGTAATCAAGACAATGTTCTTATTTTGAGAAACCACGTTTTAAACCACTGAATTATTAGTGACCTATTTTGGACATAATCTAACAGAAATCAAACAATAAGGTCTTCCAAGAATCCTTTTGGTAAAGTATTTTCAACTAAAAAAAATATTACACGGTTATGCAAAATCAAGCTAGATAATCTTTACAGATAATTTGTCTGTGATTTTTTTTTGTGTGTGTGTGTGTGTGTGTGTGTGTGTGTGTGAATTTCATGCTTTATTATCCATCAGTCAAGGACAAGATAACCAAGCACAGAAAAAAAACTAAGTTTTTTATTTTATTTCCATACAAACAAAGGCAGCTTCATATTTACAGCCTGATGCAAAAAAACTGTACATATTGGATTACAGAATCAGTCTCACCCCTGTTGGATGGGGGTTAGTAGTCACAAGAGGTTCGCAGTGGAGTTCTCAACATGAATTTTAGTTATTCTATCTTCAGTGGAGAATAGAGCATTCCTTCTTTTCGTGTTCAGATGGACGTCTCATCACTCCTAGTTTCATGGAAGATGGTGGGGAAGGAAGGGGAGACGTGACAAAGAAAAATAAAATGTCATGCATGACAATGAATTCAAAATGAACAGCAAGGGAATTAATGAAGTAAATTAAAGAAGAGAAACCTGAACACAGAGAGAAAGAAAGAGAAGACAGAAGAGTTAGTAAAAGAATGTTTGTATAATTCTGGTCCTGCAGAAATGAAGAATCGCCAATTAGACCTTTGATATGGAAAGAGTTTTTCTACTTTTATGTGGCCCTTGTGTGAAATTATATATATATATATATATATATACCAAAACAGTTATGGTGGGAATAAAGAAAATTCTGCTCTGCAAGTAACCAAGCCTCAATAGCAAGTTAGTAACCAACCTCATGCTGATTTGTTGCATTAACAACGAAACAGCTGTCCATGAGTGGTTCACTGGCTTTGCATCTCTTCCTGAGTTGTTTCAAAGCTGTTGTATACAGCAAACAAACTCCAAGGAATCCATGTTTAACATGGAATGAGGCAAAAATGTAATTCTTTGTTGAACTAATTTGCATTTGCCCACCCAGAATCCCTTGCAGGAAGTCTTATGGCTTTACTGGTGTGCAGATCTATATATATATATATATACACACACACACACATTTTTAACCCCTTAAGGACCGAGGACGGTTCAGGACCGTCATCGGCATTTTTGCCTTGCCGACCGATGACGGTCCTGAACCGTCCAAACGGTCTGGGGGTACTTACCTGATCGCCGTCGTTCCCCCGGCGGCGATCAGTGTTCCTCCGGTTGTGGGGAGACTGCCTGCAGCCCAGACAGTCTCCCCACGGCAGATTAGGACCCCTGTGGCCATGTGATCGCTTAACACAGCGATCACATGGTCACAATAGGTGTCCATAGTGCTGCCTGCAGGGGGACTGCCTGTGCTGACAGGCAGTCTCCCTGCAACTGTAAAATCAGAAAAAAAATTAAAGTTAATGGTAATAAAAAAAATAATAATAATTATATATGTATAAATATGATATATAGACATATATTATATCTATATAATATATGTCTATATATCATATATATATAATGTCATACTAAGTGTATTTTTATATTAATATGTACTTATATTAATATAAAAATACACTTATAATTAAATTACACACGTATATATATAATATATATAATAACTATATATATTGTATATATATATTATTATAAAATATAAATAATAAGTAATTTAAATTAAATAAAAAATTTTTTAAATAATAATAAAAAATTAAAAAAAAATTATATAGCTATATGAAATTTTATTCTAACTGTATTTTAAAATTAATATATATATATTTATATCAAAATACACTTAGAATGAATTTGTATATATATCTATGTATATAAAAATAAATAAAAATAATAAGAAATATACATATGTCCATATACAAAATTACATAAATAATTATATAAATATACACGTAGACTTCAAATATATAAATATGCATATATATTTAAATTCTACGTGCGTATTTATGTAATATTTTTACATAATTCAGTAATTTTATTGATTGCAATTTGAGGGACCTGCCTGCCAACCCAGGCCGAAATTCCAGAGAATTTAATTTGCTAGCACTGTATTTTACCCTGTAACGTTCTACGACACCCTAAAACCTGTACATGGGGGGTACTGTTTTACTCGGGAGACTTCGCTGAACACAAATATTAGTGATTCAAAACAGTAAAACATATCACAGCGATAATATTGTCAGTGAAAGTGACTTTTTTTGCATTTTTCACACACAAACAGCACTTTTACTGATGATATAATTGTTGTGATACGTTTTCCAGTTTTTAAACACTAATATTTGTGTTCAGCATGTCTCCTGAGTAAAACAGTACCCCCCATGTACAGGTTTTATAGCATTTTTGAAAGTTACAAGGTCAAATATATGGGTCAAATATTTTTACATTGAAAATGGCCAGGTTGGTTACGTTGCCTTTGAGAGCGTATGGTAGCCCAGGAATGAGAATTACCCCCATGATGGCATACCATTTGCAAAAGAAGACAACCCAAGGTATTGCAAATGGGGTATGTCCAGTCTTTTTTAGTAACCACTTGGTCACAAACACTGGCCAAAATTAGCGTTCAATTTAGTTTTTTTACTTTTTTCACACACAAACAAATATGAATGCTTACTTTGGCCAGTGTTTTCGACTAAGTGGCTACTAAAAAAGACTGGACATACCCCATATTGAATACCCTGGGTTGTCTACTTTAAAAAAAATATGTACATGTGGGGTGTTATTCAGAGATTTATGACAGATAATAGTGTTACAATGTCACTATTGATAAATTTTAAAAATGTATGTTTTTAAACCGCAATATCCTACTTGTACCTATAGCCCTATAACATGCAAAAAAAAGCAAAAAAGCACGTAAACACTGGGTATTTTTAAACTCAGGACAAAATTTTGGAATCTATTTTAGCAGTTTTTTTCATTCGCTTTTGTAGATGAGTAAAAGATTTTTCAAGTAAAAGTCAAAAAACATGTATTTTTTTCAATTTTTCATCAGATTTTTGTATTTTTTTAAAATTAAAATACATGAGATTATATAAATAATGGTATGTAAAGAAAGCCCATTTTGTCCTGAAAAAAACAATATATAATTTGTATGGGAACAGTAAATGAGAAAGCGGAAAATTACAGCCAAACACAAACACCACAAAAGTGTAAAAATATTCCTGGTCGCAAATGTACAACATCGCAAAAACAGTCCAGTCCTTAAGGGGTTAAAATTATTTTTATAAATGTAAACTTTTTTTTTTTTTAATTTGTAATTGTATTCACATTTTAAGCTGCAATAATTTTTTGGTAATTCTCATAAGCATTTGTATTTAGCAACCTAATGCTTACTGCGTGTGACTGCTAGAGGCATGTAGACAAGCCAATTGAAAGGCCAGTACATTTAAGCCACCTGAATGGTCCAGATATTTTCATGTGAGGGAAAACAAATCTCAGTCACTCCTTAGATGGCTGTTAGATGTTTTTCCTGCCTAGTGTGCATCACAGCATTCAGTGTCTCCACCCTCTGCATGCAGACACTGAACTTTCCTCATAGAAAAGCATTGATTCAATGCATCTCTAGAAGGAGATGCTGATTGGCCAGGGCTGTGTTCGACGTGTGCTGTTTCTGCCCCCAATCTGCCTCCTTGACAGTCTGAGCCAATCCTATGGGGAAGCATTGTGATTGGCTCACACCAACACTTCTGATTATGTCAGAGGCAGAGACAGCAGCTCCAGGCTTGAATACAAGTAAGATTTAAGGAGGCCAGGGGGGCTAGATACCGTGATTTTAACACTATAGGGTCACGAATACATGTTTGTGTTCCTGAAAGTAATTTGTATGAACCTCTATTTCTTCCACAAGAGACTTTTGAAGCATCCCTTCAACAATGAAATGTCTATATACAACCTGAAAAGGCTAATACATGTTTTCCCTTTTCTAAATAATAATATTGTGATCTGACAATCTCTGTAAATGACAGACCCATAAATGTGGTAGCAAAATGAACTGTAATAATCAGTTATATTCACCAATAAATTCCACTATATGTTGGATTTTTTTAATATATACGAAGTTAATTAAATTCAAGAAGTGATTAATTAGAAATGAATACGTTTTGCTTTGTATGAGTGATATTCCTATAAAAGCAATTCAAAGTCCTAAACCAATATTTTATGTAAATCGTATACCAGAATGGGTTTACAACCATTGCTTAATAAACAGATGTCAATGTATACAATAAATGTGTGTTTCTTTTGAAGCAAATCCTCCAATAATGTAAATTTTCAACCAGGAGGTTGAGATTCCTCAGCTTTTCTCAGGTTATAACCGTGCTTTAAAAAAAATAAATCAAATATATATATATCTATATATCTCAAGCCACTTCAAAGTATGCCCCAAACACGTTCAATTCAGGGTTGTCATAGGTTGAATGCACTCCTTAATAGGTGTGCCTTGGTTTTCCTCAACACAGATGTTGTAAGAGTTCAGAAAATATGTTTTATGTATTTTTTATTTTTTATTTTTAAAAAGCCAACTGTAGCCTTATAACTGGAGGGGAAAAATAATTAATTGTGCAAATGAGACTCTGGCCTCTGCTTTCATATGAGTGCACATTTCCAATATGATGCACATCTCACTTATTTGAATGGTGAAATACTGCACGTGATGTTATGAGGAATGTAGCATTAATTTAGGATGAAAAAGGGCATATAGTAGTTCTGTTACTTTGCAGGTTTCTAAATGAATCCTGTTATATCCCTCTATTTCTCGTTGTTTTTAAAAAAAAATTTTTAAATAATCTTTTGTAGATGTAAATAAAGTAGGGGCTTCTTATGAGTAGTATAAATCTTTCCCGGGCAGAACTTATAAGGAACACTCCATAGTGACAGCCACTAGAGGTTGATTAACCCTACATATCTTCTCAAAAAAAAACGTGCGAGTATCTCCATGACTGCACACAAAAATCTATGAATAAACACAAGTGAACGGAGTGGATACAAATTACCACCAGTGACAGTAGTGGAGCGCTTGTAAATCACTTATGTGATGAGTGAGGAATATACAGCATATACCAGTGATGGCGAACCTATGGCACGCGTGCCACAGGTGGCACACCGGGCCCTCTCTATGGGCACGCGGCCATAGGTTCACCATCAATGCAGAGTAGGCACCTGCCTGCCCAAAACGGCAGGCGCCTACTCTGCTTTCTTGTCGGCAGGACTGGAAGCAGGGGGGAGGTATCGAGGAAGCAGCTCTCCTGTCCTCCCTCGAGCTGTGTGGAGCGTTGCCGCGCGTTACCATGGCAACGATCCACACTGCATTGTGCGGGAGGACAGGAGAGCTGCAGGCTCCTGTCCTACATACTTACCACCACCGGACCACCAGGGATAAAGGTAAGAAGAAGGGAGGGGGAATACTGAATCAATATGCTGTAAAAACAAAATTAGATTATTTTTTTAATGTATCTTCAACCCCCCCCAACACAGCACCCCTGCCCCCTCACACACAACAGCACCTTACACACAAACACATACACTGGACCCCTCAATGCAGTATATGTGTGTGTACATTCAGCAGACTGTGTGTGTATTCAGCAGTGTGTGTATGTTTGTTTGTGTGTATTTAGCAGTCTGTGTGAATGCATTGCGTTTGTTGGAGATACTAATACATATAAGCTTAATTTTATCTATTTATATCATTATTTAAAATTTGTATCATTGAACTCTCTGTTGTGTTCTTCTTTTAAAACAAAAGATATTAACTAGTTCTGACAACTGTACGAGTTGTTTTTTCTAAACTTAAACCTCAGTATTCAGGTTTAATTGCCGTGTTGGCACTTTGAGGAAAAGAAAGTTGGCATGTATTGCGGTTTGGGCACTCGGGCTCAGAAAGGTTCGCCATCACTGGCATATACTAAATAAAAAGAAATACAATATAAGAAAGACCCCATTTGCACAAGGTTGGATGGCGAGCTACTCATTTCCCGTTCCTCCTCCTCACACAGAGCAGAATAGGGACTGTTCCCCCTACACTTGGCAGATTTGGATTGACACC